CCTGAGCTATTTGTAGGCTTTTGTGCAGCATATTTTGTTTGGCCTGAATTACTATCACTTTTCCACATTTGTTACTCTTATAATATAATAATAATCCTTTGTGTTTGAAATAGCGCCTTCTCACGCCGCTGAGACGTCTCAAAGGGCTTCCCAGAATATACAGTAAAGTAAATCGACTATATTTTGTGGGCAAAACGCTGCAGCCAATTGCAAACAGCAGTGTCTCCCAAAGAGTTGTGGATTGAGCAACAAAATTATCATTATTTTATTAAAAAAAACATTTTACCCAACTGAGGAAATCTGATAGGTACCTCGTTTCAGGGGAAGTTTGACCTTCCTTTCCTGTCCTCATAACAGATATAAAGGCGTGAATTATTTTTCCCTCTACTGGCATACAGTTCTACAGGTGCTGGGCACCCAGGGGGTATGCTAGGTACCTGATCCCAGAGAGCATCAGTGACCTGTGTGATCCTAGCCAACGCCCCCCTCCCGAAGTCAGAACTGACTTCCACGTTAAGTCTGAATTCAACAAATTTGCCTCTACCTGTGCCACCATCTGGAAGCTCTGAAATACTGAATAAAAAGAGTCAATCTAGACCCAGATGGAATTTCTGGAAGATCACAAGATTGGTTCGAGCACTTTGCAAATGTGGAAACCATTAGAGTTGGTTAACGTTGGGAGCCGTTGGGTTGAGGAAAACTGCTGTGTTTCTCTGAAGGAAGGAACATGCTTGATAACTTACACAAAGGAACAGCTGATGGTGAGCTATGGTACTCCTCACACTCCTATCACTGCATCAACTTCTACATCCTGATTTATTGGCATTTTATCCACGTAGAGTGGTCATTACTCTATGTTACCACTGTCACGGTGCAATGGGGAAGAGCTGGCCGTTGCTACAAATTTCTTTACTGATTAAATGAAATAGTGGGCAAGTAGTTACACTGACACATGTCCCTGTAAATCAATTTGGTTTCAGCCTTGAGGGTTGATTCCGCATTTGGTGGACATTAACTGCTTTTTGCCCACCAAAATATAGTCAATTCACTTTACAGTGTATTATGTAAAGCGCTTTGAGACATCTCGAAGACGTGATAAGGCGCTATATCAAATGCAAGGATTATTATTATAGGAGTCCTGGCACTATTCAAAAAGAGAAGAAACATTTTCCCGGTATCTTGGCCAAAAATCCCCCAAATAAAATTGGTCATCTTTATGTGGGACATTAATGTGTGCAAATTCACTGCCACATCTGTCAACAAAAATACAGTCACTACACTTTATAGTGAATTCTTTGAAGTGCTTTGAAGCATCCTCTCGATGTAAAACGGGCTACATGAAATGCAAAGACTATCATTATTATTATTTATTATAAAGAAGCTGTCAAACAACTAATAAAAACACTGAAGGCAGATACCCAGACCGAACAAACACTTTGATGTTATGACTATATTCATAATTTCATTTTTTACTCAGGGTTATAAAGAGCAAACAAATTAGAAACACATTGGATACAATATTTATCCAGTAGTTGCAGACTCCAAATCATTGCTTAATTGCTACTTATTTGGGTCATTTTATTTGGGTTAATGTGGCACTTGGGGAGCTCCTACTTTTATCCTTTGTGTAACTAAGATTTGTGAAATATGTATTATTTGGAAAGTAAATATCTGTGCAATTTATTCTGCAACTGGTATTATTTTGCTTTAAACCAATCCAGCAGACAATTAGCATTCAGAATTGAAATGGAGAAATGAGCAGTAACTAAACCATTGGACCATAAAAAAAAGCCGTTTACCTTCCAGCTGACCTCCAGGAGCTAATTATTTATCAGAAATGCATTAAAAGAATCTAAATCTTCTTTCCGGGTGTCTACCGATACTGTAATTAAACGTTGCATTGTATCAACTCCCCACTGGGACTGGCTTTCATTTCCTTCAGCAAATGGATGAAGCCAGCGTTGGCTGGGGTGATGGTGCACATTATCCCAGCAGTAAAACCACGATGACTTTCAGCATTATTTACTTTAATTTTTATTCAGCAAAAGAAAATTGGAAATCACCGTGAGGTCGGTGAATGTTGTGAATATTTTTAACTTCCAGAAGGCACCTGGATCTATCTTTCAGCTCATTTGACTCCTGTTCTTAGCCATACCAGTGCTGGCTCCAGGGGTGGTGGGATTAGACTGGTGTTTGATGCTCACATATCTGAAGGGAGATCACTGTCTCTGTGTGAGTCATAGCTTCTCGATTTACTTTCAGAGGATGACATAATGGAGGACAAGTAATAGTTGAAAGCCGTGTGTAAATTATTCATTCCTAACATACTGTGACTAAAATATTAACTTGCCTTAAGTTGCAGCTGCCTCAAACTCTCTGGGCCGTCCTCTGTCTGGCTGTGATTTTTAAACCCTGTGATGACAAAGCCAATGTTGCTTTTCCCGGTCAGGTTTAACTCTTCGAGGGACGCGTTGGGACCAAAGTACAAAACCCAGCAAGATTTTTCAAAAGTATTTGGTTTCAAGAGTACAAACGTTTATTTTTTNCCCCCACGTAAATCTGCAACATTTGTCTTCAGAGATTTGCAGTTCAATACATGAGGTACAGTGCTTTATGGTGTGAAAGCTGAAAGGGTTAAGCGCTCCGAGATGACGTCTGACGTGAATGGCACTATATAAATGCAAGGTGTTGTTGTTGTTGTAATATACTGTACGTAGTACGATGAATTTTCAAGCATTTTGCACCAGTCGAATCATCTGTTGCCATTGTTTGAATTAATCACATGTACGACAATCAAATACTGTGCATTGACAGCTTAAAATTAAGTTTAAAATCCTGGACAGGTTGATCTCAAGGCCTTCCTCTTCGATCATACCTTTAGCCACCTTCCTACCCTATCATCCCTGCCCTCCACCCCTACTGATGCCAATCGCCTGCTCGGGTCCAAATCCCTGACTGTCCAGCGCCTTGGGACATCCTCCCGACATGAAAGGTGCTATACAATCCTTGCATTTGATAATCCTTGCATTTTTGAAATAGTGCTTTTTCATGTCTTCTAGACTTCTCAAAGCACTTCAGAGAATATACTGTAAAGTGAATTAACTGTATATTTGTGGGTGAAACACGGCTGCCAGCCATATCCCACAAACAGTTGTGGATTGAAGTGACCAATTTATTATTATTTTTTTCTTGAGGGATTATTATCAGGCGTGTGGAGTAAGGAAACTTGCCCAAGGTTTTGCCCTGCCGGGAATCAAACCCAGGTCTCTCGCTTGCGAGGCGAGTCCTCTAACCACTGAGCTACAGGACTCCACAAACGTAATTTGCTGTTGTTGTTGAGGCCAGTCTGTCTTTAATGTCAGAGCATTTCATCTGTGAAATTGTTTTCCATTTAATATCTGCCTATACAGTTTAAAAGGTATGATGGCTTCCCTTTTTTCAATTGTCAAACTCTTCGTAACTTAGTTGGATTTGAGGGGAGAACACAGAAAGCTAGTCTTTAGTCTAAATATTGTATTGTGCACATGTCTGTCCTCGCTACAGTGTGATTTAATAGTGTTTGTGCACCACAGCTGCTTTAGAAGTGACTGTCTTAAATGTCTGCCTCAACTCCAAGGGTGATAAATACAGTGACGTTGTTAACTAACGTCAACTGTTGTCAGTTACCCTGAAGCCACAGAAGACTCCAATCCCCTTTCGTCTCCCACTCCCCTTCGGCTCCTACCCCCAACTCAGGTGCCCAGCCAGCAGTGTCAAGATCTTTGAAATGTTCTCATCATATGAAAGGAACTCTATAAATGTGAAGTGTTCCGAGAAACTATCCTGCGTCAAACGCAACTTTTTGTTACTGTTGTAAATTGTATTGATATACGATAGACTCATGTTTCGGTCTTGTTAGCGAAATCATTGACGTTTCATAGCCTCTGTCTCCCACTCTCTGCATCGGCACATTTTTGCCCCTGAGTTATCAATAACACACTGCTATGTTCACTATACAAATATAATGTTGTTGTTGTATTCCTCTAAACTCTCCTGTGTTGTTCCTCCGTTGCTCTTAATAGATTGTCCAACACCATCTTCCTCCTGTTGTGGGTTCATGCATTCCCCGTATCTTCAGTGTTGCTGATGTAAAGTGGCTGTGGCTCCCTGGTGGCCAGGGAGCTAGAGACGCAGAACAACAACAACAATAATACATTTAATTTGTATTGCGCCTTTCACATCAGGAGGACATCCCAGGGCGCTGAATGTCGAGGCTCTTTTTTAGCGAAGACGAATGTTAAATCTGTAACATTTTTTAAAAAAACAGCTTGCTGCTGTGATGAGAAGGTAGGAAGATGAGTATACTGGAGGAATCCAATTAAATGGGCCGAATGGCCTTCTTCATCCAAACTAATCTTGTGATCTTGTTAAAGATCTTATGGCATTTTTCAAAAAGAGAAGGGAGTTTTACACTGCGTCTTGGTCAGCAATCCCCCAGGTAAAATTGGTCATTCACTTTAGTGTGTGTCTCTCTCTGTCTCTTCTCTCTCTCCGCATTTTAAGCACTGCAGAAAACCAGCTTCCAAATTAAAATTTCCCAAATCCTGTCCCATCCTAAATTTTATGACAATTATCTTCAGGCTATTTGTGGCCTATTGCTCTATGCTCATTGACTCCTGCATTTGCCTACAAAATACACTGTTACTACACTCTGTAGTGAAGCCTGTGAGGTGTTTTGACGACATTGCTATATCAAATATAAGCATTATTATTAGCAATGATCATTTCACATGTGTCAGTTCACAACACATTGTTGGGCAAGTATTATCGGGCTGTGAGTCTTTTGTGTGTTTGCTTGTTCTGAAACATGCAAAGGAAAGGAAAACAAGAATGTGTGAGTTCATTTGGGCTTACCATGGTAGACATTAATATGATAGCTTCATCTCTCTATCTCTCTGTCTGTCTGTTTTTGAACACATTATCGTCAGTATTTTACTGAGTGTGTTATCTTTATTTTCCAGCAATTATGTATGTGATGGGAGCCCTGGGACCTGCAGCTGGATATCTTCTAGGGGGAGTATTAATCGGCTACTACGTAAACCCAAGCACTATAGTTCACATTGACCAGCACGATCCACGCTTTATCGGAAACTGGTAAATGAATCATTTTGATTCTCATCTGACTTGGTAAATGTTACTTTTCCTTGTACTGTATGTAACCCAGTGATGTATATTCCATCAAGAATTATATCTACAGTATTGTTTATTATGCAGGTAAAATGAATCATTTTACACTTCAAGTTTCCTTCCTAACTAAACAGGGCAGGGTAATTTTAATTACCAACCAAAAGATGTTTTCGAAGACCTGAAATTGCTCATTGTCTTAACCTGGAGATAATTGTCATAAAATTTAAGATGGGGCAGGATTTGGGAAATTCTTAATTTGCAAACTGGTTTTCTGCAGTGCTTAAAATGCGGAGTGAGAGAAGAGACAGAGAGAGACACACACACACAGAAATACATAGAGACTTGATGTGCCCGTCTGCCTGTTCAGGTGGACGTTAAAGATGGTACTATTCTAAAAGAGAAGAGAGTTTCTCTCAGTGTCCTGGCCAACTCCAAATAAACAAAATTGGTCATGCAGTCCAAGGCTGTTTATGGGACGTTGCTGTGTGCAAAATTGGCTGTTGTGTTTGCCCACACAAAAACAGTCACTCCACTTTACAGTGTATCTTGTGAAGTGCTTTGGGTGTCCTCCTGACATGAAAGGTGCTATATCAAATGCAAGGATTATTGTATCTGAACTGCTGTCATATCCACAATAAGGCTGTTCCCAATAAGTGTGGATATCAAAGTCTCCACTGTAATTCACTAACCTGTCTTGTCTTCTCGGTACAGGAGATGTTTCCCTATTTCAGGACTAGTTCAGTTGACCTGCAGTGAAACAGTTATCACTGTTTCATAAAGTTTGTGAAACATAATGTTCAGGTGTGTTGCAAATCGCAGCACAACTTGTTTTTCTAACTGCAAAAAACTTGTATTGCAATGAGAAGCAAAACGAGTGTTCGTTCTGGTATTGTTTATAATTGTGCCTCAGCAAGCTCTAGCAGATTCTCACCATGATGTTACCTTTTGTTCTTCCCACCTGCCGTCCCCCCTCACCTCCATCCCTCCCTCCTTCTCCCCCACCCCACCACACCCCACCCACCCGTTGAAATTGTTGCAGGTGGAGCGGATTCTTACTTTGTTCAATCTCCATGTTCCTGGTCATAGTCCCCATGTTCATGTTCCCTAAAAAGCTCCCACCTCGGCAGAGGAAGAAAAAGAAAAAGAAAATGGTCTCGGAGGATTCCAGCAGCGACGACGATGTGATGAAAGAGAAATCCAACAGCAAAGGACATGGAAAGAGACCGGTCTCCTCCTCTATGGGGTTCAGTAAAGACATTAAGGGTACGTTTCCTGTGCTGTCTCATTTTGCTTCTCGGCCTTTTGGCTAACATCAAGTGTAGTATTAGTTCTGTGGAGTCCTGTAGCTTAGTGGTTAGAGCATTCACCTCGCAAGTGAGAGACCTGGGTTCAATTCCCGGCAGGGCGAAATGTTGGGCAAGTTTCCTTACTCTACAGCCTCTGTTTACCTAGCAGTAAGTAAGAACCCGATTGTTAGTCAATTGGCGGATCACTTTTCTGGGGATAATAATATATTACACAATATATTTTGTGTTTGTGGGACACTGCTGTGTGCAATTAGCTGCCGCGTTTTGCCCACAAAATATACAGTCAATTCCCTTTACAGTATATTCTGTGAAACACTTTGAGACGTCTCAAAGACTGATAAGGTGCTATATCAAATGCAAGGATTATTATCATAATTAGGTCACCCACACAACATCACAACAACAACTTTATTTATATAGCAGCCGTCATGCAGGATAGCGTCTCAGAACACTGAAACACAAACAGTGCCTGTCCTTTCAAACAGGTGGGTTGTGGTTTTACTGAGGCAGCAGTCAGGGAAACAATTGACTAGTCTTATAACCAAAATGATACGTCATGTGAACATTCTCAAAATGGAGAATTATGTGGGTATTGAGAGTTGGCTTCTGATCAGCAATTAATTCTTTGCGTGAGATGTGTATTTAAAGTCAGCTCTTTGCTCGTGCCATCTGGTTTCAAAAGAAAGGGAAACTCAGAAACCATTCTGTAAGTAAACAGTCATGTGACATAGCTGGGTTTGCTTCACAAGTATCTTTTGGATGTATAAGATCATCCGTGTTTTGTACATGTCCTTGGATTCAGCCTTTTCAATTTGAAATTGAAATTGAAAAGATTGAATCTCATGACATGTACAAAACAAGTCCGGCTTGAAACCTCCTTTACCTGAGTTGCTTAGTCTTGTTTTCCTAGGGTTCTATCATATGTCGATCACTAAAAATAGTTATCTTTTCATTTCTTGTTTATAATGGGCCTGTGTGTGTGTATCTGTGTCTGTGTGTGCTCCTCTGTGTCTGCTTGCCTACGTGTTTACGTGCCTGTGGGTGTGTGTCTATGTTTATATGCCTGTCCAACATGAAGCCCTGTGAAAAGAGTACCATTAATTTTCCTGTCAAACGGATGCTAAATATTCAGTGTTCGTGGTGCGTAGGAGTGGCAGAGCCAGAGGCAAGAGACACAGAGTATGATGCAAGCAAACCTGAGGAGGCGGAGAAAATAACTCACAAAATACAAGGTTTAGAAGGGATCAGCCTAGGAATATTCACCAATGTACAAGTAATTCACTGGCATCTAAATATTTGCGGGATTTCCATTCGAAGCAGTTGAAAGGAGTTATATTGTTTGTAGGAATGGGGTCCAATTCCAAATGTTCTCAGATGTCATCATAGACTACCTTTCTGACTCCACCCTTGACTGGACCCGGGACCACAGACTGTCTGTCAGACATCAAATCCTGGATTAGTCGTAACTTTCTACAAGTAAACGTGAACTAAATTGAGGCTCTCCTGTTTGGCTTAAGTCAGCACCTCGTCATCTCAAACGTAGGCTGTCTCAACCAGTTGCTCACTCCAACACACGGAACCTGTGCAGAACCTTGGTATTTGTTTGATCTCTGCCCTCCTTCAAGCTTTTTGTCCAGGCTCTGACCAAGTCCACTTTCCTCTATCTCTGCAATATTATCTGACTCTGCCACTGCCTCACCCTCAACATAGCCCAAACGCTCGTCCACACCATGTCACCTCTAGACTCAACTTCTCCACCACCTTGCTCGCCATACTCTCCATCTCCACCCTCCACAAGTCCCAGATCAGCCTTCTTTCTTGCTTGGCACCCAACCCCGTCACTTTAAGCACTCCAAGATGTTATCGTACTTAAAAGATCTATGTAAATTAAACTTTTTACTGGTGTAATCCATTTTTGTATTAATAAGATGCATTAAAATTCATTATCTCAAAAACCTGATGATTTGACTGACAAACATGGGCTTCATTGTTGACAGAACAATAATAATAATGATCCTTGCTTTTGATACAGGGCCTTATCTCGTCTGCAAGACCTCTCAACAAACTTCACAGAATATACTCTAAAGTGAATTGACTGCATATCATGCGGGCGAAACGCGGCAGCCAATTCTGTACAGCGATGTAATTATATGATATAATCAGATAATTCCTCTCTGCATTTCAGAGCATCTTCAGAGCATGTTTGATAATTAATACTTCATAGCTGCCTGGGCTAAAAAGAACTGTGTTTCAATTTGACACCAGTGAGGTCTCATTCATGAGATTTAATAAGAAATGTATCATTGTAACAGTCATTGTTTGATATAGTGCCACATTACATCTCAAAGGACTTCATAGGATTTTAAAATGCAGAAACATGACATATGCCAATGTGCACACAGAGATGTCCCACAAACAGTTGCCCATGTTTGCCAGAAAGCCGTGGATCTCTGAACTGTTTTTTTTTCACATTTAAAGTTAAAGAGCAAAATAAAATCTTTCTGCTACATTTGATACCTTTGCAGGAAAATACTACGATTAATAATATGGTCACTCAATCCACCAGTGTTTGTGGGACACTGCTGCAAAATTGGCTGCCACATTTCACCCACAAAATATCATTTACTACCATTCTAGCTCCAATTGTTGATTATTCACTTTACAGTATATTCTGTGAAGTGCTTTGAAACGCCTCGAAGACATGATAAGGCGTTATATCTAACGCAAGGAATATTATTATTATTACCGTTGAAATTTCAGGAGTAGATCAACCCACTTCACCTGAGAGCCTCAGCAGATGGGCTATTTAACAGCCTTTTGTTCTCCATCAGTGGCTGTTGCTTTTATATAATTTACACAGTGCCACTGTGTGACGCTCTTACTAATTCCTCGGTTGCCGATTACATTCATAACAATAATATAATAATAAAGAGCACTAATAATCCTGCATTTCATTCATCACCATTCACATGAAGAGGATATCACAAAAAGCTTCAGAGGATATACCGTAAAGTACAGTGACCTTGTATTGTAGGTGAATGCAGAAACCAACTTGTGCACAGCAAAGTCCTACAGGATGACTCAAAGCGCCTGACAAGTCTACAGGCTGGGCACACGAGCTGGGGGTGGGTGAGGTGGAGGGAGCCGAGAGGTGTGGAGAGGGGAAAGATGATGATGGAGGGAAAAAGTTGAAGGATTCCAGAATGAAGATCCAGAGAGCAGGGGCAGAATGGCTGAATGCTCGCCTTACCAGAAGCAGGCTGCTACTGAGTGAAGGAAGTGGCTGGGTCAGTAGGGTTGAAGGAGTTGATAGAGACATGGTGGGGCAAGACCATGGATTTGCTGAGAAAGAGGATCTTGACCTTGATCTGCTTGGATGGGGAGCCAATGGAGATGGGCAAGGATGGGGGTGACAGTCTCATGAGAACTGGGGCAACGCTGTGGGGGAGAAGAAAAGCATGGAGTTAACCATCTGGGATCTGAAACAATTCCGGATCTATCTTTCAGAGGGGAGGGAATGTTGCCCTTACGTACCTTGTGGATTCCTCTCATTATTTTAAACACTTCAATCCAATCCCCTCCCTTAATTACCCACAGTTCTAAAGAGTATAACCTCAGTCTACCCGATTTCTCAATGTGATTGCCCAAAGGTACTTTTATTGCTCCTTGTCTTACAAAGGCCTAAATGGAAATCCTGTGGTGCAGGGATATAGGGACAAATCCCTTTGGGTTTTGTGGTGTTAAATTGCCAACACCATCCATGGAATGTAACTAGTAACGAAGGATGGCTATTATGTGTTCCAGGTGAGTTGTTCTACTTTTTATTTTGCTGTCCAACATTTCCTGATGTAAAGGAAACCAATAATATTACACTGGAGTTCACCGGAGGCCTGAAATTAATAGTTCACTGGAGGCCTGAAATTCCACCGAGTCTTAGCCTGTTTAGACTATTTTGTTGTAAAATGTAACATTTTGTCAAACTATGGAAAATACTTACATTTTTTCTTAATTTGGTTTGCAGTTCATTTTGGGAATTGCTTAAGACTAAGATTAAGGTGGTGTTTCTGGCTGTAAAAAAAGGCATTAATTTCATGTGATATCGAGCTCAGGAGTCAATGCCAGGGATTCTACTACAGAAACTGTTTCCATTCCTGATGCGGGAGCTGAATGTCCAATGATTGTTGTCATTTCATCCACACTATGTAAAAACTCCTGTGTTAAATAACAAACCCTCCCTTAAATACCACACTTCCACCACTGAACATTGAAGTGGGGGATGGGATGGGGGGGAAATAACCAGTTAAAACAGTTCCTGCACTTGGGAACAATTGCAGTACAAAAGGATTTTCTCTTCTGCTCTCAGAAGCTGCCACTCCATCATCTCAATGCTTTGTAAATCTGCTTCACTGTAAGTCGTGCTGTTTTAAGCAATAAGACAGTGGTTCTTACCCATTCCAGGAACTCTGGTGCTTACTCTTATTTGCGGAACTGACATTATAGTTCTTGTGTTTGTGTTGGACATTCAATATCCAAGCAGTCCTGTTGGGTATCCTTGATTCAGTTTGCTCAATGATGTGACCTTTGAAAAGGAATTCCTTAGCTTTGTGAAATAGATAATATTGTGAATGTTCCACAAGCTCTTTTAAGCAAGCCATGCTGACATTGCCCACTACAATTCCTGGCAGGGCGAAACGTTGGGTGGTTAGAGCACTCGCCTCGCAAGCGAGAGACCTGGGTTCGATTCCTGGGCAGGGCGAAATGTTGGGCAAGTTTCCTTACTCCATACGCCTCTGTTTACCTAGCAGTAAGTAGGAACCCAGTTGTTAGTCGATTGGCGAATTGCTTTTCCGGGCGTAATAATTCCTTCCAAAAAAATAAATAATAATAAATTGGTCGCTAAAAAGTCACAACTGTTTGTGGGAAACTGCTGTGCGCAATTGGCTGCTGCATTTCACCCACAAAACATACATTCAATTCACTTTACAGTATATTCTGTGAAGCGCTTTGAGACACCTTGAAGATGTGATAAGGCGCTATATCAAATGTAAGGATTATTATTATTACAATGTACACACGTTAGCCACGGGGTTTCTTTATATCTCTAAAGTTGCTCCTCTCCACTATTGTGTCATTCATGGTGTTTCTCTTGTCATTTTTATAGATCTTCCTAAAGCAGCTATCAGGATCTTGAGCAACATGACATTCCTGTTTGTAAGCTTGTCGTACACAGCAGAGAGTGCCATCGTCACCGCTTTTATTACCTTCATCCCAAAGTTCATTGAATCTCAGTTTGGCATCCCAGCATCTAACGCAAGCATTTACACAGGTAAGGTGTGCACATTAACCTTTTGGATTCCAAGTTATTTCTAGGAACAGAATGCCATGTCACGTCACACAATAAGTGTTGATAGGATTGTATGTCTGCAGATGGATCAGTTGTAACCTCTGCCCTCTCCTGGAAATAACCAAAAAATGAACCCACTCTTCCTCTTCTGCTCCTTCCCCACACTCAGAACCAAATGTCCATGCAATGGTTTCAGAAGTCATGCAAATCCCTTTATTATTAGAAAAATTGACTTTAACTACTGCCCTTATTGAGTAAAATTAATTTTTAGTGACATATGTGTCAACTTTGCTGAAGCGGTTTCCTATTCATTTTAAACCAGTGAAGGCATCGTTTGAATCGATGTTTATCAATGGCGAGTTGGCTTCAGGTTACCAGGGAAGTGCTTATTGTTAATTTTTTTTATTTCACTGCACTCAGCTAGAGGCCAGTGCAACTTTCTATTGTGTAGAGAAGCTAGATAAAGTTACGCTCTAGATCACAGGGGACAAAAAGATGTTTGCTTTTCCAGGGCTTTATGCTATTCATTTTTCATAAGATTCCATTGATCACCTTTCTCTGATGGATTTCAGCAAGTGATGCATGAACAGTGAATAAGGCAAGGATAAATGAAACAACTGTAAATTCATAGACTTCCTCAGTGAAGGTCACCTTTCTGAATAGATTTCTTTGATAATATCCAATATTTGTTTGAAAAATCCGATGCCTCTAAACTGCTTATGACACACATTAATTAATTTTTTTGGGTCAGCTGAGTGACTGACATATACAGAAACCCATCATCATACTTAAGAGTATCTAAACCAAACTGAGAATTCCATGTGTCCCACCTGCATGCATTTGATATATATCAAATGCAATGATTATTTTATCAGAGGTATTGTAAAGATATAGAGAGAAATCCCACCTCTCTAATTGTTGAACTCAGTCCCAACTTTGAAATAATTTTGGTAGTCCTTAAAAGAAATTGACAGAAAACTGGCTTCTAAATTAAAGCTGTATTTAAGAATTTGCCAAATTCTGGACTCTTCAAAATCCTCTACAAATGGAGCCACTTCCAATTTCTCCCAAGAAATGTCCAGCAGAGTGTGAGGTATGGCAAAAACATAGTCGGCACACAAAAGACACTGTGGGGTAATTGGATGAGAATTCTATCCCTGTACTGTATATTACTTATAGTTTATACTGATATTTTTGGTACTATTGTTGGATGCGCTGTCAGGTACAGGCAGATTGATAATGGTTTCTTCATTTGTAAAAATGGAGAATATCCTTAAAATGAAGGATTTCTTATCTTGGCATCATCTGTCACTTTGCGTGTTGCACACTGATAATCAGGAATTCACTCAGTGAACCTTCAGTTATCACTGAACGGTGTCTTCCATCATTCACGTCTCAACCCATTTAAATGCAATCCCAAGAGAGTTTGAAATCTGTCTAATTTATGGAGTATGTTTACATGCAGTGCATCTGTTGACTTACATTAATCATAATGTATCTTTATTGCAGCTACATTTTGTCTCATCATTTAAGCAATGCATTAAATGATACTTCATGGCCTGTGTTTTAATACACTTTGGGATGTCTGGGATCCTATACATTTGTATTATATTTAATATTGTATTTAACGTTTCAGCAAACGATCTCCATAAAGCTGCAACTTTGTAAGTCAGTGGTTTTACTGTAATTGCAGGTGTGATCATTGTTCCCAGTGCTGGTGTTGGAATCGTCCTCGGCGGCTACATTATTAAGAAGCTTAAGCTGGGAGCTCGCGAATCGGCAAAGCTTGCCATGATCTGCAGCGGAGTCTCACTGTTGTGCTTCTCCACTCTCTTCATTGTCGGCTGTGAAACCATTAATCTAGGGGGCATTAACATACCTTACACTGCGGGGTGAGGATTATTCATTTCTTATTTTGGAAAAATTCACCTCGGGTTAGAAATTCCACCTGGGTCTAGATTTAGTCTACTAATCCAGTATTTCAGGACATATTTGGCGGATAGTTAAATTCAGCCTTGATTTTGAATCCGTTTTTCTGTAAGTTTCTTTTGAGACCTAAGCTTACTTCAAAGTTAATTTGACAATTCTGGTCGTTCTGAAATGCTGTGTGAATCGAATAAATTCAGACCCAGGAGGAACTTTACCTCACTCTTGTTTATAACATCAAACTGTCTGTTAAAATAGTAAACCGAGCCACAAGATACAGCCTTTTCCGTGGCAGATATAGAGTCAATAATTACACACAGTATTTCGTGAGGCTGTTTTTTGGAGAATTGACTGAATTTGCCCACACTGTACTCTATTAATTAATGGTCCAGGATTATTGTTATTTATACTGCTTTGTTATGTGGTAGCAGGTCAATTCCTTTGCTAAGTAAATCCAAGCTAAATGCCTCAAAGAACCTGTGCACAAACAGCTAATTGTGAGCCAAGGTCACTACTGATGAAATTTTATCTTTCATCTCAGTCACGCTCTGCGCCATTTAGCAAAGCGGGTTTGACATGTTGATTGTCAATCTCTGGATTCATGAATATCGAATCGCGAAATTCACAAAATGGTAAATTGCAAAAATCTGGAAAACTGGCAAACTTTGAAAAAATCCCGGAGAACAGAACGCAATCCATTATCCAAGCGTTATGTGGGAGAGTAATTCATTGTGTGGGGCAGTGGGTCATCTCAACATTGTGTAGGAGAGTGGTTGATTTCACAAGGAAGTGGCACACTTGGTGAGAGTATCACTTGAGCAAGTAAAGCTCCTTGGGTCGGTAAGTTTAATGCACATTGACAATGTGCGTGTTTGAGCAATGGGATTTACTGACATAGTCACACATCTTCAAAGTGAGTTAAACTTACTGAGACACTGAGCATGGTCTACGAGATGTAGAATCAGGCTGTTGTATCATTAGTCTTTAACAAGGGGACTCATCCACTGTCAAAACCCAGAATGTGTGCTTCAGCTCGTAGCTTTGTCTTAACAGTTCATGCCAGCTTGCCCTGTGTTTAGGATGAGATCTAAATCCACCGAGTGCGGACAAGTGAGGATTAAATTGGAGCTGACAGCAATGCCGTGTAACAGGTGCTTCTTCAGTCATGAGAAAGATACGCAGCGTTTGTGAGCAGTGGAGCTTTCATGCTCAGAAATAACTCTGCTAGCATTTTTTTAAATAATCTTGCACAGACTAGTTGGGCCGAATGGCCTGTTTCCGTGCCGTGTCTTTGCATATAGTTTGAGCGGGTTGTGGGAGTGCAGGCTTGGTGCTTCTTTACAGAGAGGATTAATTGTATCGATGGCTCCTCTTGTCTTTCCTTTCAGCCCGTCCCTCACAATGGCTCACAGGAACCTCACAGGCAGCTGCAACGTGAACTGTGGCTGTAGAATCCATGAGTACGAGCCTGTCTGTGGATCAGACGGGATCACGTACTTCAGCCCATGCCTGGCTGGGTGCTCAAGTGTGGTCAATGAAAGCACAGGGGTGAGTAGAGAAAGAAGGAGCATTGAACACCAGACTGACACTCCCAAATCACTGGCATTATCCCTCTACTGGACAATAGCCGGTGTGTTTTAACAGTTAGCAGCAACTGGCTGAAAGGCTTGATATGGTGTTTATAACAGTATTGTCAGTTTGACTGTATTCCAGCCATGCGATTAGATGCTATAAATAGGATCCAAGCCACTCAAAAAAGACACCTTGTAATTTTTATAATAGCAACAGCAAGAACAATGTCACATTTATGCAGTCTTTCATGCTTTCATGTTGCGAGGACATCTCAATGCACTTCACAGAGTCGACTGGGAGCCCAAGCTGGGTTGGGGGGGAGACTGGGATGGGGCGCGGTGGGGGGAGGTTGAGGAAGGAAGGGGATAAAGGTGACTAAAAGTGAGAAGATTTGCTGGCAGCTGCAGCGTTTTAAAAGTTATTTCTCCTCCCCCCACCGCCACTCCCCAATCCCAACCTGGTAACATCCTCTCACTAGTTCTTAGAATTCAAAACCGATCAGCTGCCTCGCTGACCTCAGCAGTCAGCCAATATCACAGGTTACACCATGAGAGGAGAGGGGAGCACTTGCTGGTAATGATGAAATGGAAAATGCAGTATGTGATGTGATAATTATCCCAAGTGATTATCTCCCCAATCCCCTTCCCTGCTGCAGGGGACTTTGCTTTGTTTTGTTTGCGCTCTAGTTGCTGCAGCACCTTGGGACGTTCTCCCGACATGAAAGGCGCTATACAAATGTAATATTGTATTGTATTGCAGCTATTGAGCCAAAGGGGCTGAGCTGGCTCTAAATGGCACTGAAACACTGGGATCTGTGCAGCGACAGGATTGAAAATGATACTGTCAGCTTAACAGCTGCAGAAGCAGACGGCTTTTGGATGGAGTCATTTTTATAACATCAGTGGGAGGGGGGAGGGGTGGTGGGGGTTGGGAAGTGGATTCAACCTTTCTATACAAACGGAACTTCCCTTTAGGCATCAGGTAGCCGTGTGGACTCAGTCTGTCAGGATTAAGCTACAATGGGGTAAAATTTCCGTTTAGCCTTACATGCTTCGCCTTTGGTGAAAGCCATAGACATGATTTCCGATTATTATGACATTCATAGAAACGTAGAATCAGGAGAAGGTCATTCAGTCCCTCAAGCCTGTTCTTCAATTCTATAAGATCATGGCTGATCTGCACCTCAATTCCAATTACCCGCTCTTGCCCAGTATCCCTTATTACCCTGACCTAACAAATATCTATCCACCTCAGTCTTGAAAATGTGAATGGATCCAGCATCCACAGCCTTTTGGGGGAGAGAGTTCCAAATTTCCACAACCCTTTGGGTAAAAAACTGCCTCCTGATTTCACTACTAAATGGCTAGATCTAATTTTAAGATTATGCCACCTTGTTCTGGATTCCCCTACCAGAGGAAATAGTTTATCTGTATCTAGTCTATCGAAACTCTTTATTATTTTAAAAACCTCAATCAGATCACCCCTCGACCCTCTAAACTCAAGGGAACAGACAACAAGTTTATGCAACCTGTCCTCATAATTTAACCCTTTAAACCCTGGTATCAATCTGATGAATCTGTGCTGCACCCCCTCAGGAGCTAATATATCCTTCCTGGGGTGCGGTGCCCCAAACTGAACTCAGTACTCCAGATGGGTCTAACCAAAGCTCTATACAGTTCTGTCATTTCTATCAAGCACTATCATTTCCTTTCCATTATATTCCAGCCCCCTTGAGATAAATGCCAACATCCCATTAGGCTTTTTGATAACTTTTTGTAGCTGTGAGCTTGTTTTTAGTGATTTGTGTATGTGGACACCCAAATCCCTTTGCTCTTCCACAGTTCTTAGTTTCCCAACCCTAATTCTGTTTTGCTATTTTTGGATTCATAGTGGATCCAAAAATGCATAAGAACATAATGCTAGACGAAAAAAGACCAAGGTCCATCAAGTTTGCCTTCCGTCTTCCTGGCGGAAGAACATAAGAACATAAGAACATAAGAAAATAAGAACATAAGAAATACATTATACTTCCCCACATTGATTTCCATCTGCCACAGTTTTGCCCACTCACTTAATCTATTCTAAGCCCCTTTGTAACTTCCTGCTCCCATCTACACAATTTACTGTGCCTCCTAACTTTGTGTCATCTTCAAATTTTGATATAAAACAACAACAAAAAATTCCATTTGTATAGCGCCTTTCACATCAGGAGGACGTCCTAAGGCGCTGAACTCTCTATTCCTTCATCCAAGTCATTTATATATATGGTGAAAAGCTGAGGCCCCAGTACAGAACCCTGGGGAACACCACTTGTCACGTCCTGCCAATCAGAGAAAATTAATTTTATCCCTACTTTCTGTTTCCAGCCTCCTAACCAATTACCAAGCCACGTTGCAAGGTTACCTCCGATTCCACGTCCTTTTATTTTTGCTGATAAGATCTTATGCAGAACCTTATCAAATGCCTTTTGGAAGTCCATGTAGACGACATCCATAGACACTCTCTCATCCACCATGTTAGTGACCTCCTCAAAAAATTAAACGAGGTGCGTCAGTCATGACCTACCCTTCACAAATCCACGCTGACTCTCTTTGATTAGCTCACACTTTTATCCAAGTGCTCAGTCACTCTGTCCCTGATTAGAGATTCCAGTAACTTCCCCACAACTGAAGTTAAGCTGATAGGCCTGCAGTTACCTGGATTCTCCCTCCTTTCTTAAGTAATGGAGTAACATCTGAAATTCTCCAATCGAAAGGCACAATTCCAAATATAGAGAGCTTTGGAAAATTATGACTAATGCATCTGTGATTTCCTCTCTTACTTCTCTTAATACCCTGGGGTGGAATCTATCAGGTCCTGGAGATTTGTCTATCTTTAGTCCCATTATTTCCTCCATTACCTTTTTTTTATTTTTATTAAAATCATTCAATACTTTGGCTTATTTTTAGGTTCCCTTGTACCTCTAGTATTTTGTCCTCTTCCTCTACCGTGAAAATGGAAGCAAAGTATTCATTCAACAAGCCTGCCATTTCCTTATTGTCCATTATAGTCTCACCTACATTTGTTTTTAATGGGCCCGCATTCCCCTTTACCACTCTCTTTCTCTTAATATACCCATAAAAACTTTTATGCCACATCATCAAAAGAACTCTGAATGGAATTTTTGACCAGATGAGTTGGAAGAAGGAATACAAACTTGCATTTTTATATGACATTTAACATTGAAACATATCAAAGCTCTTACCTGGATACTTGCTTCGAAGTGTAGTGCATGTCTTTTGCAGGCAAAAACGACAACCCTTTTGCACACAATAAGGTCCCACAGCTATGAAATAAATCACCGAATACTGCTGTGCGTAATTGGCTGCCGAGTTTCGCCCACAAAATGCACAGTCAATCCACTCTACAGTATATTCTGTGAAGCGCTTTGAGACGTCTCAATGACATGATAAGGCGCTATATCAAAGGGAAGGATTAATATTAGTATATAGTCTTGAAAATTGTTGGCTAGGACCCACTCCCTTCTCTACGTGAAGTGTGTGATGGGATCTTCAACATTCACCCGACCAGGTGGGACCTCGCTTTAACAACTAATCCAAGTGATGGCACCTCTGGCAATGCAGTGCTCCCCCATCCCACCCGTCTCTTTCCTCAGCACTGCACTAGAATGTCAGCCTGGACTATAATCTCAAGCCTTGACCCAATCTTCTGACCCAGTCGTGAGAGCGCCTGTACTGACTGAGTCAGGCTGTCGCTAGTAGCATTGCTGGTGTCTTGTGTGGCAGCAGAGGCGGGAGTTAGTGAATGCAGAATTGAAGCCGTGCTTTTGTTGAAGCTGTTACCTTTTGTATAAATTATGTAATTACAGATGAGGAACTACACGGACTGCGCCTGTGTTCTGAGTCGCCAGGTCATCACTCCCCCTACGGTCGGACAGAGAAGCCAGCTCCATTTGGTTATTGTGAAGACGTACCTGAATGAGAATGGCTACGCTGTGTCGGGCAAGTGTGATCGGACGTGCAGCACCCTCATCCCGTTCCTCATTTTCCTTTTCATCGTCACACTGATCACAGCGTGTGCTCAGCCATCAGCTATCATAGTAACTCTCAGGTAAGAGAGGGCGGGTTGGGGGGTGGGGGGCTGGAGGCCATTACATTAGTTTCCAGGAGGAGGATGGAGGGATGAGATTCAGAAACATTTTAGGGGAGAAATTACACCTGGGTTACTAAACTTGCAAACGATTTCTTAGCATTTGTGAGGGGGCAAAACTTGGGAAATTCGCAGTCTTAATTTTTGACAGTTTGTTGCAATCTGTTTAAAAAACAGCTTCAAAATTAGGACTAAATTTAAATACATTCACCAATTTTGTGCCTGCCTTTTCACACCGTTGAAATAAATCCCAGCAGGATTTTACTATGCTGTCCAGTGAATGTGTATTTGTAGAAAAACATAGCAGGCAAATCACAAACACAGTGTCTCACAGACAGTCTTGAAGTGAATGGGGAATTTTATTTGGGGGATTATTGGTCAGGACCCTGAGAGTGACTCTCTTCGAATAGTGTGAAGGGATCTTTAATATCCAACTGAACAGGCAAATGGGACCTCTTGTTTTAATGTTTCATCCAAAGGACAGCACCTCGGGTAATGCAGCATATCCCCAGAATTGCTTGGAAGTGTCAGCATAGACTATGAGCTCAAAGGCCTGACGGGAAATAGTGTAAGTCTACACCCAGGTGGAATTTCAACCCCCTCGGGATCCAAGGCTGTGTGATGCTGTAGCATATATGATCATGTCAGATTATAAGATGTGTACTTATCTTTGTGTGTGTGTGTATGACTCGTGTGTGTATAATATAGTGTTTGTATAAAGTGTGTGTTTGTGTGTATATTATATAGGTATGTATACAAAAACAGCTTCCTTCCTTCAATACTGACGGGATTTATTTTTTACTACATAATGCAATAAATCCCCAGTAAGTCCGACACTATATGTGCTTTGGTTTCTTGTAGGTCTGTAGAAGATCAGGAGAGACCTTTTGCCCTGGGAATGCAATTTGTTCTCTTACGAACTCTCGGTAAGTTACAGTGTTCAGATTGCAGCTGATATTCAATGGGGTGGCATTCACAGATAAATGTGTTAAGATTCCAACAGATAGAGTGTAATACCTTATATCAAAGCTCATCTGAGCTGTGGTATTGACGGATTGGGAATATCTTTGTATCCTTGATAAAAAGAGCCACATTAAAAAGTACCACCTTGATATTGTCCCACATTCTCTTATATACACAGTGATTCCTCCCATTAGCAGAATGCAATAATTCCTCCCATTTGCAGAATGCAGTCACAGTATATGGACATATGCTCTTGCCAGTTTGATTCATGGATTTATGAATCAAATGAATTATTGCCCTTTTGTTTCACAATGTGCTGTGTTTTGATCGGCTAACCTGATGTATAGGCACTAGTGCATTACAATACTGCCACTGTCTGTCAATCTACGGTATTGCACCAAATAGCAAGGACTGCTGTGGTGCAATTTAAAATGCTACAGAGTAAATACCACTTTTGTGATTAAGATTCTATTTGCTGAGAATGTTTTCTTAAAAAAATGGAGTTGTGGTTGACAGTATTTATAATCTAAATATGACAATGCTCTGCTTTAAGCTCAGCCCCAGTGAACGACTTTGGATTTTCTTTTGGCATATGAAGTGCTGGGTTAAGCGAGATGCAGCAGCTGAGCTGTGTATTTCAATGCTAACTGTAATTTGTTAGTGACAATATACAGTAGTACATCAGTGAGATATTGCTCTAATTAGCAGGACATGGGTACATTTCTGTCAGCTTAGAGGCAGCCTCTAAAGTTTCTAAAGTTTCCCCGGTAAACTGTCTGAGTCAAGCGGATATCCCATCTTCAGATCAGACCCACCGTTCTCCATTATACTTTGTTTTTGCATTGGGTTTTATCCAGAATATGTGGAGTCCTGTAGCATATTGGTTAGAGCTCTCGCCTCACAAGCGAGAGGACCCGGGTTCGATTCCCGGTCAGAGCGAAACCTTAGGCGAGTTTTCTAACACCACATGCTTCTGTTTACCTAGCAGAAAGTAGGAACCCAGTTGTTAGTTGATTGGGAGATTGCTTTCTGGGGTAATAATTCCTTCAAAAATAATTTTTGAAAAAATAATAATTTGATCACTCAATCCACGACTGTTTGTGAGATGCTGCTGTGCGCAATTGGCTGCCGTGTTTCACCTGTAAAAATATACAGTCAATTCACTTTACAGTATATTCTGTGAAGCTCTTGGAGACGTCTAGAAGACATGATAAGGCGCTGTATCAAATGCAATTATTATTAGACTCTGTGAAGCACTTTGAGATGTCTCAATGTGATGAATGCAAGTATTACTATATATTATTATATTATAATATTTCAGATCAGCTTTGCAGACCCTTCATTTGGGTCTTCTATTTTACTCTTGCCAGGTAAACACACGAGGAGCACAAGTGTGATTTCAGTGGAGCTGGCGTGCAAGTTCCTTGGTTTTTAAATCTCGTTCCTTTTCTCTTTTGCAGCTTATATTCCGACTCCAATCTACTTTGGGGCTGTGATTGACACGACCTGCATGCTGTGGCAACAGGAATGTGGTGTGATTGGTTCCTGCTGGGAGTATGACGTCACATCATTCCGATTTGTCTACTTCGGGTTAGCAGCCGGCCTGAAGTTCGTGGGCTTTATTTTCATCTTCCTGGCCTGGTACTCCATCAAGTATAAGGAAGATCGCTTGGAGAGGCGCAGGAGGACAGCTTGTCCCGTGAGCACTGTCAGCGAGCTCATCGGCCACGCGGGCGGCCAGTACAGCTCCACACGGACTCGTTCCTGTCCCAGCTTTCGCACACGGGCTGAACACGGCGACGACCTATCGCGGCGCGCGGGACAGACATTACCCGGATCATTCCGAGAGCCAGAACAGCACACGGCGGAGGACACACTGGAGGATGTGACGGCTGACATCTAGGTCAACGCAATGTCCCCCCCCCCCCACACGTGACCATCCCGAGGATTGAGTCGTCCCAACACTGCAAAACGCCGGCTGGGCTGTTGAAGCAGGATTTTGTTCTTCGTTTCGAAAAAAAAGGGGGAAATGTTTCCACACAGAATTTTACAAACAAAAACTGTGCCTTTTTAATTTAAAGAAGTGGCAAACAATGAGCGACAAAATTAAAAGTTAATGCACCGACAGTGGCACTCCAGAGGGCTGGATACCTCAAAGCGAATTCTAGGCTGCTTTTTATTTTTAATCTTAATGGTGCGACCATTTGCACTCGTGCTCTACGATGACTAACAATTAGTGTTTGGGGAATCATGAAATACAGGGGCAGGCAGTCAGTCAAGCAGTGGGTTAGTCAGTCAGTCAGTCAGTGAATCAGGCAACATGCCCAGCGCCAAGCGTCAGTGTGCAATTGTTTCGACAATTGTTTTGGGCATTTTTTTAAAAAAAAATGCTGTTCTCATCAGCCCTAGGTCACACAGTGTTAAGAATACCTGCTAGATGCCAGTTGCAGGCTGTTGAAGATTTAATATATTTGACTTGGTTTTAGTGACGAATAACGTGTTTTTATAATCACTGCTCACCCCATCAGAGTGACTTGAAAATCGTGTTTACAAGACAGTACGTTAAGTTGCCGTAAGTAACCCTGGCCCTGCCCAAAGCTCCAATACCACAGTTGGCATCCACATGACCTTTACCAGTGACCACGTTTGGTAGCCTGGTAAAAGTTGGACGAGCATAAACTGGGCGATATTCCCGAACAAGTATCTCAGGCCTCAGCTCAGAAACTGCACTGAGCTCAGTGGATCGAATGGGATTAAACAGCTTCACTGGGGAGTCAGCATGGCACGAGCTGAGTGGTCACCCCATTATGCACCCACACATCTGAAAATTGTAATGTCTCTTAGCAGATTTAGCAGTGCATCAATTGGGAGACATTCCACCCAGGTCTAAATTTACTCTCTCCACATAGCATTTCAGTGCGTCCTGAATTTGGCAAATTCTGAAAAGCAGCCTTAATTTTTTTCTCTTTAATTTCTTTACTTGTACTAGATACACAAGTCGAGTAAATCTAAACCTGGGCAGAATTCCTAGAAAGAAGGACAAGCAGACACACTGCATACTTGTGCCATTTGAAATATTGAAAGTAAAGGAAGGGCAGTGATCTCTGAGCAGAATACATTGATACATAACTGTGATGCTGCAATTGACAGTATCCAGCTGCTTGCATTTCCTGTTATTTTGCCCACATGTGCAAGTGGTACTGTTGCTATTTCTTCACTGGATTTCAAATCCACTTCAGGTGCATTAAGTCAAGGTTTATCTCGATCAGGTAAATATCTTTTGTGGCTCTCTCCTGAAGTGAGGGGGAAAATCCTACGTGTGCCTCACTTTTATCACAATTTCTTGCAGGGGTTGCTCCACTGCAGCACGTTTTTAACACAATGCAAGTTGTAGCGGTGTGTGTTGAAAAGCAAGCAGGAAAGGATTTGGTTTGCCGAAAACGTTTCCACGACAAACCTAATTGCCTTAAATGCAGGAACATGCAATGGAGTACAAGAAAGAGTAAAGGAGCACATAATATTCACTTGATCTAGGGCCAGCCTTCAGATCCTGGTTCAAGACTTAGACTGGAAAATTCAGAGAGTGCGAAGTTTGGAAACCTATGGAATTAGTCTGAATTTTGACGCCAGTTTTCTGGAGGTTCTTATAAGGGGCTCAAAAAAAAGTTTTTCTAGTTGAGGCTGAATTGAAGAATTTGCCAAGATTTGCAACACTCTTAAGATGCTAAAGCAGATAGTGTTAGGTCTAGAATCAGGGGTAATTTCTGGTCCCTTCCCATGTACTGCATATTCAATCTACATATCAAATAAACATGTACGTGGCATTATGTATCTCAGCCTCTGTAAAGGCAGGCAATATATCGAAATCTCTGCATTCTCATAGGTTTAAGCATCAAAGCAATTTCAGAGGCGTTAAGGACCTGGTGTGTAAATTGCCTTTGGTCTCTCTTTGCTAAGATATTAAAGTCACCCTTAACCTGCTGCATAACCACTCAACATACAGTATTCAGTTGCTTGCATTTCCTGTGTTTTTGTCATATATCAAAGATATCACAACGATTTTTAACTTGAACACAGAGCATGTGGAGTAGAGTTTAATGAGAACTTCATCGCACTACCTAGCAAGAAAACAATTGAATTGGAATTATGGAAGGTATTTTACAGAATTTCACCTGTTCTCTTTTGATACAGAAACAACACAACTGATGTAAAGAAAAGCATCGACATACTTGATCACAGAAACGCAATATTGCATGCATGTTCCCCACTGTATCTCCTGCATGCATTTTCTATTGTTTTCCTGGTTAGCAGTGTGTGGGTTAATGCAGTATTGCAGACTGTGTACCTCACTTTCAATCAAGCAAAAAAAAATAGAATTATTACACAAATTTCGTCAAATTCTCTGCTACTTTGTAAAATGGTAGTTAAATTGCACGTTGTCACACTCCAGTGGTGTCAAAATCACTGGAAAGATTTTATTTCTTGGTTGGCATTGTAGATGCTAGTCGGAACAAGTTTAGGAAGGGCACACAGCCAGCAGTTTAAATTATAATGTCAGGCAGCTGGTGAGCTCAAAGAGCATCTTATATGTTATATTTTATTTTTAAAACAAGTAGTTAGTATGCTGTCTTGCTTCCCGTTGCCAATAATCTCTGCAATTGTCTCTTTTATTCTCAGCTACCCTTGTATTATTTATATACCTTTTATTAGATATTTGTTTTTAAAACATACGGTTTACCATGGCTATGTTTTGCTGCATCTCCCCAGAGTCTCAGTCACTTACCGTCCCCCTATACCCTCCCCTTTCCTTCAATGTCTTAGCCTTTTACTGTGGAGCTTAGAGCTCCATCACTTACCAAGAACTAAATGAAAGGTCCAGTCAAATGCAGCTGTGGACCCAAAGCAATCTGATGCGCTGGATGCCTCTCAGAACCCTACAACATCCATTGTGGGATCTAACTTTTGTTCTGAGCATAAAATACAGGTTTCTCATTCAGATCACATCGTAGTCCGCAATAAATAAATCAGACAGTGGTGCAACCTTGTGTAACAGCAAATCATGATGCTGTTGTATTCAAAGAGAATCTCATTGGGCAGTGACAGGTATCTGACATAGAGACCAGTGAGCAAGTGTTCAGCAATGGTTTACTGTGCAATAAGGTCCTGGATACAGTGAAACTATTTCTGAGGTTGCATTGTGAACTTAGAAGAAAAAAGGTTTGGGTGGTTGGAGGCTGGAAAAGTGGAGTGTTTTCTTCAGGGGAATTCTTTATTTCAGGGTTTCACTATAATTTTAAATGGTTCCCTCTAGCTTGGTGATGATAATAATAATCCTTGCATTTGACGTGGCGCTTTATCACATCGTTGAGACGTCTCAAAGAGCTTCACAGAATATACTGTAAAGTGAATTGACTATGTTTTGTGGTGATACCAGTGTGGTTGTGATTTTCAGTTGTGGGGTGGAGTGGGGACTGAGAGGCAGAGGGGGAAATGAGAAGGAAGGGGGTACAAAGCTGGATCGAGGAGGCTGCTGGAATAGTTCCTTGCCTGTGTTAATTTGACCAGCAATTCCATAACATGTTGTGGTAACACATCGGACATGAAGCATTGACAAAACATTACGAATCGAAGATAGCCGAGTTGAGAGGAAATACAAATGAAATTTTTCCTCGAGTTTCAGAAGGGCATTTTTAAACAACCGAATACCTCTGCTCAGCAGCTATCAAGTTCTCCTTCAAAAGACGGGGCAATTGAATGGGGAAACAGGAGGCAAATTGTTCTATTCAGAGCAGTGTATTAAGCAATCATATCAGTCGTACTGTATGTAAACGTGGTGTTGCTTGTGATAAGCAAAGAAACAGGAATTGATCAAATGTTTGGAATCTTTGGAATAGTGTTGTCAACACTTTCATTTTCTAATTAATATCTGTCTGTTGATATGGTAATTTATTTCCCAGATAGTAAGAATGACAGTATTGTAAAAGCCTTTAACCACTTTATCAGGAACATCAGTGAACATCACGTTTGTTAAAGACCAGTTTACAATACTTTGAATACTTGATATGTTGTCAATAAAAGTCATTCAATTTGTTCCATATTGTCCTGTAGTTAATCCCAGTGATGGGAATTAAACTGAAATAGTGTCATGGGATCGTTAACATCCCCCAGAAAAGGTTGACAGGACCTTGGTTTCAAAAGACTGCACCTCCAACAATAGTGTAAGCCTAGACCCTGAGTTCAAAGTTTCAATGTGGGAGTTATTAATTACCTGTTCAATGTGACCCAAGTAACACCGGCTCAGGCTGACTAGGGAAGCTAAATACAGTTCAGTTTCACTTACGTCATGTGAATATGTGAAATAAATTCTCTTGTGAAGTGGTAGAGGCAGATTGTGTTCACAACTTCAAGAGAATGGGATAGTTGTGCAGCAAAAAATTCACGTGAGGGATATGAGAGATAAGAGTAGAATTTGTTTTTAATACTTTGGGACTGGACAGATGGGCCACAATATTCTTTTCCAGTCCTGTGTGTTCCTGTGGAAAGTCTATCTTGCCCTCCGTCCATTGGTGAAGGTTCTCATTTCTTTTCAACTAGTTCCTCCCAAATGGCCTGGCAGAGGTATCAAAGGCATGAGCAACAGCCTCCACCTCCCACTGCTCCATTGCCACATGCTTGATGCTCCAACACACTGAGCCATTTACAGCCTCAAAACTCCCTTTTATCTCAGTGCCTGAAACTCGTGCATATTGAAATAAAACATTTGATTTCAGTTAAACAAACTTTATTTCCATAAATGCTGCTTCTCGACTTTCCTGAAGCCAGAATAGTTGCAGAATTAAACCCCCCCCACCCGCCCCCCCAAAAAAATAATAAATTCACATGAGTTTTGCGACTGGAACATACAAATTTGGTAAACACTGTGCTCATGCTTTACTCAATTCAGCACTATTTACAGTCAGCATTGTTCAGTACATAAATACTTTGCTATGTTACATTATCAGAAGCAGGAACACAATAGCTATGGCTAACAGGGTTACATTTACAGGAGGAATAATAAAACCCAGACTACAAGTGAAAACTTATTTCTATTTCAAAGTGATTAACAGATTTTTTTTCTGGATAATTATTCCCCTCCCCTCCACCCCCTACCGATGAAGTTACTAACACAATTCAATGTAAGAAGACAATGCTTATGATTTGACTCTCAGCATTGAGGGTGGAAACAAGAATCAACACCTTAATTGAACATTGCCAGCTAACTTAAAATCAGAGGACTCCTCCGGGTACACACACACACAACACACACACACAATTGCAAGTGAACTATTCTGGGCCTCGGTCTGATTCAATTTCATTCTGCAGGTGCTGCACAAGTTAATGTCAGCAGTTAAAGGATACATCAGCCCCACCAGTTTCATAAAGGAGAGAAATGGGTGATTTGGAGCAAGTGGAACAGTCATCTGATGGAATGATCACGCTTAAAATAGGCTACAGCGAGCTGTTAAGAGATGTGACTGCTGTCTGGAATCATAGAGGGGAAAATTGCAGTGCTTAAATGATAGTTATCACCCATAACAATTAGCCCACCTCTTCAACCCCACGCACCACAGAATATTAAAGCCCACCAACAGGACCTTTTCTCCACATTAAATACCTTCAGGATCTTATTAACATTCAAGCAAGTTTTACCCACTGTAGCTGACACTCAGCATGGACGAGGTGTCATTACAAACCGTGACATCCATACAGAGACTCAACAATTGCGACTCAAAATAATCGCCAGTTAAATATTAGCAAATAGTCCCATGGGTTTTTCATTTGACAGAACCAATGTCTGGTTTATACTGTGGATTTCATGCTGAATTTTGTGGTGGTGATTTTGTCCTGCTGCATTATCTGCAAATAGAAGTTTGCCCTGCAGATCAAAAATGGTCCCTTAAAGGTTCTTGAGTAGTTTTGAGGGGAAAATATAAATCTTTGCCTCTCCAAATTGCTGTACTGCTGGAAGCCAAATCCCATACTTTCCAGGAGTGCACACAAGCAGGCATAGATGAATATGATGGTGAAGTGTTGTCCAATTTGAAGTGAATCTCACAAGTCCCACCATTGTGAAGTCTTCAAGCTATTTACATTAAGCCTTCCAGCTGGAAACGTGTGTTCCTAACAGGAAAAAGTTCAGTGAGGTTAAAAATTATTGGTAACCTCTGTAAACCCTTTTAGCACATGAATCCAGAGATTCTAGTAAAAGAGCTTTTGGGCTATAGAGACATTTATTAAAAGAATAGCACATTGAGTGACTGTATGTAGGCTTGATGAAAAAGCTTTTGCAGAAATATTTTCAGAAACAAATGGTATAATAATGTAGATAAGATCTGAAAGGGTATAAGGTTAAGATAGGGCAGTGAGATTGAATGAACACTTTGCTCTGAGAGCTGTTGTAGACTTGATGAGCTTCTCTGCAATAAATTTCTATGATTCTATGTAAATCTCAAATATATATTTAGAAATGGCCTCACTTGTTCCTTCATTGATGAAGAGTTTCGAAACAGGCCATGGGCGGGGAGGGTGGTGGCGGTGGGGTGGAGCGAAGGCAGAAAAATAACTCCTTAAAAACAAACTGGGGGGAAAAATACCCGAGCAACTATTAAGTCGCTGAACATGATGGGGTGAACAGAGAGCAGGGATTTCCTTGAAAAGCAAACATAGCCAGCTGGAAATACTTACTAGACCAATGCTCTGCACTGCTAATAGATTCCAAATTGACAGCAAAACTCACTCTGCAAATATATTGTGAACAATTCTGAAAGTGCAACATTTTGGGACAAACCCCTGCCCCTTCCCCCCAACCATGATTAATGTAAATGAATGCACTTTGCGAGCTTTTGTAGTGGAAAGATGGCAGATTGCCACTCCACGTGATAGTCGATGACATTTTACACATGACAAGACTGTAACATCACGTGACACACTCCACGTAACAGTCAGTGATACTCTTCATGTGACAGACTCTACGTGATAGTCCGTGACACTCTCCATGTGACAGACCGACAGTAGCTAAAACGTTTCACTTTATTAGGTAACAAGGAGAAACTATTCCGAGGCATACTGAAACAAGAACAACAAAATTACATTTGTATAGTGCCTTTCACATTGGGAGGACACCCCAAGGCTCTGGAAAACAGCCAATGCAAAGTTTAGGGAATTTCTCCCAGCCCTCTGGGATATGCCTATTCCAGTAACATAACATTTAAATATATTTATTTAGAACTGTAGAACTTAACAGTTATACAAGAAATAAGCTTCCTGTTCCCTCATTCCAGACAATGGTAACAAAATAAAATTGTGAGACTGCCCCAAGGCTGTCCGTGATGAAATACAACGTCCTTTGCCCTTTGATCTTACAACATGAGCTGTTATTATTGCAGGTGACAGTAGACATCCAGGTGAATGAATGAATGAAGGGCTTTGAGTTGATCAAAAGAGGGAAGGGGACAAACTGCTACCCCTCTGGATTGAAGTTCTCTGGTATTTCCTCACCGCTGTTCTGTGGCTCTTCCTGAAGCTCTTCGTTCCCGCTGACCTTGCCTTCTGAAGGAATTGCTAAGGCCTCACGATAAAAAGGACTGACAGAATGAGCAGGAAGATAGGCTTGATCTTCAAGAATGTCCTCCTCCTCCCCCCGCACTTGATTTTGCTGACCTGTCAGAGGAAGCATGCCGCTCTGCTGCAGAAAGAAGCTGTTTCTGGCTTCGATTTCCCTCAGGCCGTTGCCGCTGAAGCCTGAACCATTTTCAATATCCTCCCATTCTTTTATCAACTCTTGTCTCCACCATTCAGAACTGGAAACATGGTTCTCAGGTATGTGATTGTGATTCATCATTTCCACCTTTGGGCTGTCACCCCCTGTGTCAGTCACACTTGAGTCTGTAGATATAGCAGGTTGTGTCTCTTTTATCTCCCAATCAATCATCCCACTGGATTCATCCTCTGGCTCAGTTGGGGACCCATTTCCCGAGATGGAAAGCGGAGATGATGCCATGTCCAGGGGGGCAGTGTCAATGGTCAACAGATCCTTGTTTAGCGCAATGGTCTCAGAAGTGTGTCCAGGAGAAGATTTCAGCAGTGCAAACATCCTATCTACATCCTTCCAGTAATTAGTCCAGTCTCCAAGGCTAAGGCTATAATTATTCCTGTTGTCAAACAAGCTTTCATCCACACTGTACAAATTTTCAAGTCCTTCCCAGTTGATATTTTCTGTGAAGTTTGGCAGTTTCTGCAGACTAACCTTCCCATCCGTCCCATAATTGTCCTCTGCCGGCAGAAACAGACACTTTGAATAGATTACACAAACATAATGCACATCCACTGCTGCTGACGCACTGTGTTTGCATGCAAACATGCATCTAACACCAAATGGTTATTCAAAGTAATATTAGAAACAGCCCGTCCACCATGCCGAGACCTTCAAGCAAAGCCACCCAGCAGGAAAAGGTGTAAAAGTATGACTGCAATGCACAATGTAAAACAGGAGACAACAAATAAAAAAGAATCCTTATTAAGAGAAATAACTACCTGAGCACAGATACAGAACCATTATCAATGCCAAACCTCACCGTATTCTTATGTGTCAATACATTCATTATAAACTGACTGTCCAATTTCACAAGCCTAGGGAGACATTCAACCTGGGTCTAGATTTACTCTATTTTGCTTACAAAATACACCTCTACTACACGTTACAGTAAATCCTGTGAGGCACTTAGGCACATGCTCTTGACACGAAAGGCGCTATATCAAATGCAAAGATTATTTATTATTATTCATATAGCATTCTGGTTTATCCAGAAATTTGCAAATTCTTAAATGCTGCTTTAATTTTAAGTTCTTGAAAGTTAAGACTGAATTCAACAATTTTCCAAATTCTGGATGCTCTGAAATACTGCATAAATAAGAGTAAATCCAGACTCAGGCGGAATTTCTCCCCTACAGAGCTTCTGCTGTAATGCACTTTACACCCAATCTCATGACATTACCATCAAATAGCATTTTGTAAGCAACACAATTTAAATATATTGCCATGGGCCAATTCTACTTATTATTATTATTACATCAGATTCAGATCGACCAGAAAATGAAAGATCAACTGGTTACTTCTTAAGCCACATCCAGCTGTGGGTTCTTTCGAATGAAATTCTATGGCATGATTTGAAAGGCTTGGATCATGTCTCAAATATAAACTGCTGAAGTCTGGACTTTTACTTCCAAGTGAAAAATATTGAATAACCCATTTGGATGAAAAATACATTGACCTCATTGCATTATTAGGCCAAGACACTGTCTCTGTCCTGCTTGCTGCTTAAACTACATCAAGAATTTGCAAGTCATTTAGATACTTTCTTTATCCGTTGTCATATGCTTCCCCAACTTCCCCGGTCCTTGGCTCCTCATGAAATTCCTAAAAGTGATGTTTTATAACTAGAAACAGAAGACGCTATAAAAAATAAGTAAAAAAAACTTAATTATTCCAAACAAACACTTTGTAATGCAGTGCGAGTGGTCTAGACCATACACTGTCAGACCAAACGTGTAAAAGCAAGGGCCCCATGCGGTGAGTGTGGGGCCTGCCAGAGTTAGGAAGTGGTGGAAGCTGAAATCCAAAAATGAAACCAACAGAAAATAGCCAGGAGAATTGAGCTTCATGCCTTGGTTTGGATAATTCAGATAGATGACTGATATAAGATGTCTCCTCAGGAAATTACTATGAAAGACATTGTGGTTAAAAATATAGGGTCAACAGAAAAGGATGTAGTAGCGAGCAATGGTATGGACGCACATACTAAATACATGTTATTGACATAATGGACAAGAAGAAATGAAGTCAGTCGGTCAGTGGCATTGGTTGATATAAACTCAGCACTAAAACCACATCAGGCTAAACGCATGCACTGTGCAGGCTTCACAAAGTAGGATTAAAAATACAATAATAATGCTTACATTTTATACAGTGCCTTTCACGTCGGGAGGACGTCTCAAAGTACTTTACGGGATGTACTGTAAAGTGGTGTGACGATGTATTTTGTGGGCGAATGTGGAAGCCAATTTGTGCACAGCTGGTGCCACAAACAATCATACAGTGAAAGACCAATTTTTTATTTGGGGGCCGGATACCGGAATTAGCTCCTTCTTTTAACTGTTTATTAACCATGGTCAGGAACAAACAGTTAAACGAGAGGTAAATAGTGACAGATTATCGGATCAGTACAATTGCTACCGTAAATAACAAGATTTTTTTCACTCCTAGTAAGTGACACAAATGGGAACCAAATATATTTTTCTTTCAGTAACTCTTCATAGGTACTCCTGTTTTCTTGGTTCTTTTGGCCATCTTTCTGCCCCGCCCCTTGGCTCTGACCTACATGGACCAACTTCTCCCTCAACCCCACCCCATCAACCCACCCCACCTCCAAAAAAGACAAGCCTTAAGGAAACACCACAAAGTGGGGTTTTAGTAAGAATCTTATAGCTTCTGAGTACACAGAATTTGACAAGAAATAAATATAAACATTAATACAGAGGATAACACTGTCCCTAGAGAAAAATCAAAGCAGAACCTTCCTTTCATCCCCGTTGCTCTCTACCATCTAAAAGCACCCTATATGGCGCACTTTAGCAAAGACGTGATTGTACATGCAGCAGAACGTGACAAGTGATCATTTCCTTGCTGTCCCAAACTTGCAATTGCAGCTAATATCGTTGCTGACTCCGCCACTGTTCAGTGCTCAGGCCAGCGTGAAGGGCGCTATATAAAATGCATGTTGTTGTTGCTGTTGATGCTGTTTGATGACTCCTTTATCATGACCTGAAATAACACACATTTCGGATGGCAACATTTTTGTAGCTGATACATTTCAGCCCAAAAACGAGAGTGATGCAATTTACACTCAAGACTAAAGAAGCAGCCATGTGACAAATTGAAAATTTTTAAGATACAGCTTTTCGTCACTCACAAGGACTTGAAACTGGGCCTCCTCAACTTTGGCCACTTCCGATGCTGCTGCAGCCTGACAGTCAGGTAGCAGGAGTAAAAAGAGGCAAAGATCAAATAGTAAGATGTTAAGAATAACAGGAAAATAGGTACACAAACCTATTTCTGGACATCTATAGAAAGAAAGTTACGTGCCACTGTTCAAAACAAATGTTTAATTATTCGCCAAGCAATTCATATTAAGTTTTTTAAGTCACTGGTTGTTTTCTTAGCATTTTTTAAATGTATCTGTTTTCACATTTGTTCTTATAGTCTTCCTTGCACTGCATTCAGTTTGCTGTCTGATCAGAAAGCTTTACTGCTGAATTCATCTAATTGCCCACTAGGAAGTGCAGGAGGGCTTGGGGTGATGCTTTGCTTGACAACAGCATTGTCAAAGCAGGGAATTAATGTGTAGGCAAGTGGAAATATGAAGTCCCATCTCAGGACTCTGGCACCTCTGGACGTGTGTGCATTCAAGAGCTGTCTGTCCACGCTGTTCAGTGAATTCATATTGGACCCCTGAAGACAATACACTTTCTGCACACTCAGCTTACCTGTATTATTTACTCTCAAGTTTCCAATGATAAGCAGGTGGCAAAAGCATAGCAAAATAATCCACACGGACCCTAGAACATGTGAAGAGTTTTCAAATTTCTTCAAAGCTCTTGAGGATTTCGATAGACTAGAGTAGATTTGACTGCTGGTCAGCACATGACTAAACAAAAAACGCAACAGTAAAGCCGCTACCTCAATACCCCACAATGTGGTCAACACTGATCACCCAGGAGTGATCCCAGCTTTCAGTGATCCCAGCTTTCAGTGTGTGTGTGTGTGTGTGTGTTGGTGGGAGTATATGGGAGGGGGGAGGGGAGAGGGGAGAAGGGAAAGTTCACCTTTCCTGCAACCAATTAATCCATAAAATTCATAATCAAAACACTACATTTAAACCAGGGTTTAGATTTTATCGCAGCGCAGAATCCTTATAAAAAAATTTCTATACTTATTTTGGTCTTGAATTAGTGAGTGCGTGTTAAGCGTGTGCACATGTGAAGGAAGTATGTGGTAGGGAGAATGGGAGTGCACACAGACTCAGCAGTAAGCAATCAAGCATTTTGACTTGCACTCAAAGTGACTTGCACCTTCAAAGAGCAACGCGCAAACTGAACTGGAACCACAACAAAGTTAGGACTCCTGCGTGTCACAAAGAGCAGCGATAAGAATGGCAGATGGTCTGAAAACAAAGGTTAAACTGCTATTTGTTAACAGAATGAATGGGCATGCATCAAAAGAGTGTTGAGTATAAACACACAAACAAAACAAAAAAGGAAAATTAGCTTCAATGGCCCAGCTCATGCAATTGGTTTGAAAAAAAGGTGTTGAAGAGAATAATAAAGGGTGGATACCTGTGTTGATCAAAGCTTCCTCCATCTTTATTTCCTGATTAGGAAAATAGAAGAGTAATTCTTGTTAATTTTTTTAGAACTGTAAAATTATTCACAATGTATCTGTCCATGCATTACCTAAAGAGAAATGTAATACGGTTAAAGTAGAAATAGAAAAAAATAAGTAACTCTTCAGCACAAGAATTAATCCAGAGGCAATGACTTGGGGAAACTCGAGAGCAATAGAAAGTGCACATATTCTCATGTAACTAAAAGACATATTAATACAAACTAGTCTAGTTAGGAAGTTAAGTTTAACACACTTTTATTTAACCGTAATATTCAGTTAACCTCAGAATGAGCGAGACTCCAGAAGTGAATGATCGGACAATGTTTGGATAATTCCTGCCATTCCTGGACTTGTGACGGCCCTTTGGTTCAATAATAATAATAATAATAATCCTTGTATTTGATATAGCGCTTTTCACGTCGGGAGGACGTCCCAAAGCGCTTCACAAAACACACTGTAAAGTGAATTGACTGTATATTTGTGGGCGAATGCGGCAGCCAATTGCGCACAGCAGTGTCCCACAAACAGTCGTAGATTGAAAATGACCAATTTATTATTGTTTTTGGTTTTGGAGGGATTATTATTAGGCGTGTGGAGCAAGGAAACTTGCCCAAGGTTTCGCCCTGCCTGGAATTGAACTGAGGTCTCTCACTTGCAAAGCGAGTGCTCTAACCACTGAGCTACAGGACTCCACAATGTCTTCTCATATGGCTCAACTTTGGTCCAAATTCTGTAATCACTGCCATATGTATCCTCAGCCCTGAGAGGAATCACTAGTCACAACTCAAGTCATTTCCCTATTCTCTCCCAGTAGCTCTTATTCGTAACTAGCCACTGAACTATTTTAAAATGACCTGGGAATCCAGATAGATTCTTGACCAGCCCACCTGGTTCATCAATGATATGGAAGTATGGAGCTCGAACAAGTGAGCTAAAGCCTTGGCTGCACAAGTTAACAATTGGTGGAAACTTATCTATAGCAACTATCTCTTCACATGAATGTACTAATAGAGGATACAGCAACCCCTGTCGCTGCCAAATTACCAAATACATACGGCTGATTCTGTCTCAGGATACCCGAATGACAAAGTATAAAGTACATGTACAAACCAATCACCCTGTGGTCACTGCTGCTGAATGTATCTCCTTTCACACTAATCGACTTCCAATGAGCCAACCTTCTTCCTTCAAACTTCAATTCTGTGTTCTACTGTTCTACCTGACTACATACAAACTAAAACCCTCATAATACTCAGCTGCTATCCATCCCAGAATCTATCACCAGCCGCAGGGCACTCTGTGTGGTTAAAACCAACACAAACGGCCACAGACTGAGAGTTAGCATCATCGCTTTGTCTAGCTACATTCTGCACTTTTGTGGGGTTCCATGTCGTACAGTACATGATTTAGCCCCACTTGAAGAAGCCAGTTAAATGCCCGGGGGTTATAAATGAATAGAAAACAACACATGCAGTTAAAGACTGACTAGCGAGTGTAACATTTCTATGAGATGCCAATATGCCCGTTGAGGTAGAGAATAAAAGATCTAAATTGCGGTATTTCCAAATCGGACAAACGGGGGTTCCTTCCAGTTCCTTCCTTCACTCTGACGTGACTTGAGTTCAGAGTGGAGATCTTGCAAGCCAGAGGGGAATTCTAACAAGATTCCTTAATAAGGAATTCCTTAATAAGGAATCTTTTATTCTTTAATAAGGAATCTGAGTAAAATTGACTTTTTGAGCAGCTATTGCAGTGATCCTTGAATTGAAAATACAAAGATAAAGCACCTTTCACATCGGGAGGACTCCCCAAGGTGGAGGGGAGAGTGGCTGAAGGCATGGTCGAAGAGGAGGGTCTTGAGACGTGCCAGGCAGTGGAAGGGCAATGATGCTGTTTTTAAGGGGATGGGAACAATGTCAGAGGACAGCACGGAAACCCGATTGGAGGGGTTCGTATAGGGAGTGACAGGAGAGCAAGGAGTGAAGCTGGGAAGCAATGGCTCATTCAAGGACCTTGGAAAGGAAAGGGAGGTTGGAGATGGGGCAGTAATTTGAGAGCAGAGATAGATCCAGGGAAGATTTTTTGAGGATAGGGGTGATGATCGCTGTTGTTAAGGATGTGGGAATGGTGTCATTGGACAAGGAGAGGTTAATGAGGTCTGTGAGTAGAGGGGTAAGGAGGTGGAGTTGGGAGGTAAGGAGAGGGATAGGGATAGGGTTGAGGGAGCAGGTGGTGGATTTCATGTGGGCTGTAATGGTGGTGAGAGAGAGGGGGAGACATGTTTGAAGGTGGAGGGAGGGATGGGTAGGAGCCAGAATGTGAGGGGGCGATGGGGAGGGGGTAGCAGTTGATTGAGTTTCTGTTATCTCCATGGAAAAATTCTCTTATGTTGAAAGCTGGCATTTAGTCATTGGCTAAGAACAGCAACAGAAATAAAACTTTGGGCTATAGAATGGGCTATAGTATCTTCCATCTATAGTACTGCAAGGCAATGTACAAATGGTCTTGCCACACACTCAAGATTCAATCCAGTCTAGGATTGAATCCGCAGAAAAGGTAATGTAGAGACATGAACCAGTCTGTCCTGAAATCTAAAGAGCGAAGAGATAGGAGCTTCAACACAGGCTACCATCATAATAATAATCCTTGCATTTATTATTGCGCCTCATTTCGTCTTCTAGACGTCTCAAAGTGCTTCACAGAATATACTGTAAAGTGAATTGACTGTATATTTTGTGGGTGAAACACGGCAACCAATTGCGCACAGCAGTGTCCCACAAACAGTCGTGGATTGAGTGACAAAATTATCATTTAAAAAATGTTTTTTTTGAAGAGATTATTACCTCCAGAAAATAATCCGCCAATCAACTAACAAACTGGGATTATTACTGTTGGAAAAGCTTGTCGGTGCCATTAGTGATGGGAGCCTCTGAGAGCACGAGAATTAGTGGTCTCACATCAAACCCTGAGCCAGTGATTATGAAAATGCCTTCCAGCATCAAGGATGCCCTCATAGCAGTGCAGCTCACAGTATAAGGCAGGCTTTGCTGGTGCTAAAGCACTAGCTCTTCAGCCTTCAGACCTTAGGCTATTGATGAAACATAACCAGAGGGTAACTAGCAGTAACCACATAGCTTTAAGCAAGCATTAGATAGCTACAAACAGGATAACATAACATCCCAACCATTTCATTCAAGAGCATCCACAAAATCTGATCTTGTATCTCTGGTTACAGTAATAACTACAGCTTGTGTGCGACCATCCTTTTAAACTCTGAATAGTATTCAATGCTTGCTAAGTGTTAGTGGAGCATAAGCATGAGGTGAATGAACAGTCAGGCTTTGAGAGACCTTCAATAAATGAGAATGGACTTTCCTGCTATGGATATTTCTAAGGAACAGGTATCATCAATACTCTTCCTATTGAACTTCCTGTAAGTAGTTACCTGATCCCCAATGTGTGAGCAAGTGAAAGCCGGGAACGCTTACTCGTGAATGCTTTTGAAAAAGGCAGAAAATATTTATTTTCATTTCTGCAGCAAAAGCGAAAGGTCTGAGCCAAACAGGGTTCATGAACCAACAATCTTCAATGCTGTGCCTGGAGCCATCCACTATCCACTGAAGCACCGCGATCTCTGTACTGGACTGAGCGTCAAATCCACCTAAAGTCACAAAGTCACATGTCTATGGATTTTGTTATTCTAGGTGGATTTTTAAAATTCCATTTTAAGCATCTTTTAGCTGTCCAAACACGCTTCACAGAAATGTCACCAAACAATTACGACATGATACAAGAAATGAGTCACCAGAACCACCATTGTGGGGGTAGAAGGTAAAACTACATGGATCTGTCTGTTAAAAGGTTTATCATTCTATTTGAATCTACCAAGAAAACTGCAGAAACCAAATCCTTTGCTCACAAACGTAGAAGCTATTAGCACCAGGAGAAATGTGATGCCTTTTCACTGCTAAAAGTCGAAGGTTTCCTTTGAAGAGACAGAAATAAGGGAGAACCTTTTGGTTTCTTCAACCAAAAATCAGTCATTACCTGCTTCCAGACCCTTTGGTCTTGGTGTGCACTGTTTGTGTCCCTTGCAACTTCGCAGTTCCATGAGTTGTGCGTGCAACTGGTTAAGAATTTCCCGCTCCAGCATGTGCACTGCATTAGTCAGCTGAAACCACAAGAGCAGAAAGAGATGTGTGTGTTTGGTTGACAAATTTAAGAAACGCAGCAGCCAATTGCGCACAGCAGTGTTCCCACAAACCACCGTGGATTGAAGTTACCAATTTATTATCATTACTTCTTTTTAAAGGAATTATTATCCCTGGAAAAGTGATCTGCCAATCGATTGACAACCGGGTTCCTTCTTATCGCTAGGTAAACAGAGGCGTGCGTGTGGAGTAAAGAAACTTGCCCAATATTTCTCCCTGCCGGGGATCAAACCCAGGTGTCTCACTTGCAAGGCGAGTGCTCTAACCACGGAGCTACAGGACTCCTCCTAACTCCCAAACTTAACTCACCTCTCTGAACTCTCTCCAATGCAACCCGCCCTCTCCAAATGCGACCTTGTTAATGAGTTATATAATGTTAATAGCCTGCTTTAAACTGATTATAAAGATTTAGGGGGAAAAAAAAATCCCTGTTTTTAGCAGTCAGGATAAGTTAGGCTCTATCGCTAAGAATGGTCTGGACAGCAAGGGGTCCTGGGAGGAGCTGTGTGGAGCATAAGGGGAGTTCGAATGATGAACCTGAAACATTGGTGGACTTTTATTGGTGAACATTGAGCTTTGTGGAGGATATTAGGTAATCATTGGTAAAATGCTTTTTCCTTTAATGTCCTGGTGCTTTGCCTTTACGTACTTTACAACAAAAAAAACTTAAAAGAAATGCAGAGCTGGGAAGAATTCTTTTGACTGCGTGTACGGTGTTATCAATCAACGTCAAGTAACCAGCGATTTCTCCAGGTTTATCATTCACTTCCTGCTTACATACTCTATGTCCCTATTTATGATACCTACATTGCTATTATTTTATAGCTGATATATATTTTATATAAAGCTTTGCAAATATGCCCTCGCACTTTTAAAGATCTGTTTTGTGTGAATTAAAATATTGTCAAAGCACAGAAAGTGAACATCCAGTGATTGATGCTGATGGTGATTGAGCATGTGTCCAAGAACCGACTTGTTCAGTCACATGCCAGTAATATCCTTACCTGATAAGGATCACTGTTCATGTCAAAATATTCGAGGAAGCCAGTGGCGAACTCACAGAAGAGAGTGTTGTGCGTCTCATTAATAGTCCGTAAACACCAGTAAGTATTATTGTTAGAACTTGTGCAGGCACAAAAGGATCCCACTGGAACGGAGAAAGGAAAAGATGTGTCAAGCGAGTTTTTACGGGGGAGAAAAGCAACATTTCTACAGTTGCCAAAACTTTTTTGGCAGATTGCCACACAGCTGTGGCATGCAGCGTGTAGTACTGTGTATGTGTAGGCGAATAATTCACAATAACAGCACCCAAACCAAAGGATACACCTGAAGGCATATAGATAAAGTAGCCTTTGGTTCAAGAGCAAATACCTTGTGCAGATTATAAACCAAATAGATCAACAACAACAAAATTACATTTGTAAAGCGCCTTTCACGTCGGGAGGTGGTCCCAAGGCACTGGACAGACTGAGTTATGGACCCAAGCTGGGGGTCGATCAATTGCCTCATGTCATGTTAACCTTGGTTCTGACAGGCCGTGCCATGTAGGGCTATATCGCAGCTTTGCCCAGAGTGCTGAGGTCGGGCACATTCCAGTGCGGATGCTCTCACAAGCTCCTCCTCTCCTTCTCCATTAAGCACCAAGTTCACACACAATCACATCACTTTCCAGTACATCCTGTGAAGCGAATTGAGACGTCTCAACGACATGATAAGGCGCTATATATTAAATGCAAAGATTGTTAAATTCCACGTTGCACATGAAGCAGCGCTGGCTTACAGTTCCAATAAGGTGGGGTCTGCCAGTGATCGTTGTTGTGTGTGAAGCAGGTGAGGCCGGGCAGGCTGCAGTCATCCCCCTTCCTCAGGCGTTTCTTCAATTTACGATCTTTCTTCTTTCTCCGGTTCTCTTTGAACAGCTGCAGCTTGCTGTCTACCTCCTGTGCCACCTCCCTGAAGAGATCAAAGGCTGGGGTTACTGGCAACAGTTTCTGGCCTATTTCACCCACAAATTACACAGGCAATCCACTTTATAGTATATCCTGTGAAGCGCTTTGAGACATCTTAACAATGTATAAGGCCCTATATCAAATGCAAGGATTATTATTGTTATTATTATTATTATTGGCCGGTGAGCCAGTAACATGATGGCATTGATTGGGGGATTATCACCAAAACGAAAGCGGGTGATCTTACATGAAAGGTTTTGGAAACGTGTAGACTGTGATGCCCCTCCGAGTCTGGGGTTTGCGATGGTATATTAAGAGCTTGACTTTGCACTGTGTACTCTACATCTTTCCCAAGCAAAGTCAAGTCCTTAGCTGCTGGCACAACAACAACACATTACACTTGTATAGCGTCTTTCACGCCAGGACGTCCCAGGGTGCAAGAGCTGATGAAAGCACCTTGGGACTGACGTTATTATGCAGCCGGGTGCAAATCATGCATTCACAGGAATTGCAGGTGTCCTTAGTCAGCTATTTAGCAACTGATCCTTTTCATTGGTTAATTACACAATTATAGGCACCTACAATACATGGTTTGCAAGTAATAATGTCATAAAATTGTGTGTTTTGACCCAGGGTGGATCGGACGTACCTGAAGGGATGCAGGTGGCTGTTCTCGTTTTTCAGTTTCCCTCGGTTTCTCATGCCCTTATCTCTGCTGTAATAACTAGATTGGATTGAGAGAAAGAACACCGTCATTCACTGTGGCTCAGTGCTCCACCTCCTGACAACAGAAATGTTACCTTCCACTCTGAGAAGACCATCAGGCTGCATCCGTTTGGCCACACCTCTGCTTTACATGATAAAGGCAGGAGGAGAAACCAGTACCATTTTAATACGTTTCCAAGCATTCCGCTGTCCAACTTGAGGCCCTGTTATGCGTTACCCGTCCTGTACCACACCAACATATGTACTGCACCAACACTTGTACTGTAAGCAAACCAAAGCAGCCGAAATCCTCACCCAATGCTCTCCTCGCTGGTCTCCCCAGCTCCACCATACACAAAATAACTCAACTAATTCAGAACTCTGCCGCATGGATACTCATCCGCATAGACCTCATCACACCAGTTCTTGCCAGACTCCTCTGACTCCCATTTACCAAATGGATCGATTTCAAGATCCTCTCATTCGTTTTCAAATCCCTTCATGCCCTCGTACCTCCCTACCTATCTGACTTGCTTACTCCACCATCCGCTGCCTCCGATCGGCTGGATCCGGCCTCCTGTTCGGCCCTCGTCACCTCTGCTCCACCATTGGTCGCTATGCCTTCAGCCACTATGCCCCAAAGCTCTGGAACCCTCTCCCTCAATCCCTTCGCCTTGCTCCTTCCCTCCTGACTTTCAAATCTTGCCTAGAGACCTTCCTTTTGATCGTGGTTACGGTCATCTCGACCCTCCCTCTTCCCCTAGCTTGGCGTCAAGCTCTCCAGGACACTACCGCGTGAAGGGCGCTATATAAATGCAAGTTGCTGTACTGCACCAACCTGTGTGCTGTGATGAGAACGGCCTTTGTGAGATCTCAATCTGCTGTAGCCTTGAGCAAAGCAGGTTTGCCCCAGAAAGGAGGGTCAGGAACATGTCAGCCCATCCTCTCAGAACATCTGGTGTCTGTTTTCCCCAGGGAATTGACAGTGAGTTGGGGGCAAGTCTCTCACTGGGGTGACAAGTGAGATTGCTGCCCTGGCAGTGTGCGGAGGGGCTGGTCACTTCATTCTGTGGAACTGAAGTCCTGCTACACTCAATTCCTAACCTGAGCCACATCGAGCCGTGAGGTGCTGGATGGAGGCTGTAGTAATGGGCTTTTGGGGACTTTTCCTGTCTGAGGAACAGCCCGAAAGCAAAATATGGCCTTTATCACGACTTCCACTTTTGTGCCTGAGAAGATGTGGCCAGTCCTTGACTTGTGCACCAGAAGCCAGAAGGCAATTAGACAGATACAGGTAGATAAACCTGTCAATCACAGGGACATGCCCACGAATCTGTTGAGAATCATGGAAAACCACTGGGGGGAGAAACTGAGTCATGCCCAGGGCCTGTGTGTGAACCTCTGCTTCAGGCAAGACTCTCGTAAAAACAATCACTTAGAAAACACCACGGAGGTGGAGGTTAGCTCAGCATCTCGGTGTTAAGTGTAACATCTGTAAACCTACCCTCTCACTGTACAGCGTAACATTTGTTGAGACACACCGAACATCTGCAAATCTGCCATTTCACTGTATAGTGTAATACCAGGTAACACACAACAAACATGTGTAAATCTACCCTCTCACTGTACAGTGTAACATAAGGTAAAATGCAGCTTTACACGTGTGAAAGAACTGCAGAGTTCCTCATGCACCGAGCAAAAACCTTGGGCAAAAAGAGTACTCGCTAAAATACAGTGCTCGTACAACGTAACACAATTGAGGGAAGGACCTTTTCCTGTTGCAGTCGCATTCTTCAGGCTTTTTCCTTTTGAGGTGTCCCCTCACTTCTCTCAGATTCTTTATTTTGTCTTGAAGAGCTTCGATCTGCAATTGAGAGTTAAATGCAATTGTTTTTGGCCTAACCTCGAAACCCACTGAAATAATCAGATGGCCATAAATTATAATGGGGGACGGGGGGACGGGGTTGTAAAGGGAGGCAGTCAATTTCAGGTCCATAAGTAGATTTAGGTGTTGCCAACACACACTTGCTTGGATGTCTGGAACAGGAATGTTGGGAGTTTTATGTCAATGCGGATCCCATAGTCAGTACAAGTTTTGAGCGCCCAATCTTCTGAAGTTTATGTTGGTCACAGCCGAAGAATAATAGATTTTGGTCTAAATATCCCTAATTGGAATTTGTACAATGCGTGGCTTGCCCATCCAAGGTGACCCATTTGCTATCCAATATACAGACCCCATTATTCACAGGGAAGGAGCGGTGTTAAGGGCAAACACAACACTCCACCCAATGCATCCTTTACTGTTCCTCGACTTTTACTATTCAGTCGCAGCAATGGAGAGCAGGCCACCTCCGACTGATGTTATAGACGAAAGGCTTCTTGTGGTGCTTCACCACTTGGTCTAATGTCTTGTTCTGTGTTCACTTTGTTTTGGTAGTATTTCGGGTGCTTTACGTCGGACATTGGAAGGGGGAGGAATTAAAGGGCTCCCAGAAAAGCCATAATACCAGCGCCAGGTCAGCCTAAAAAACACTTCACGACACAAGCTCCTTGTACTATGTCCCAGGCGAGACCTCAGCTCAGAGGCGATCACGGGCTGGTGACGAAGTTCCGCAAATCGGGTGCTGTACGGGGGATTCCCTTGCGCTAACTTCCTGAGGCACTTTTCCCAGCAGCTGGGAGCTTGCTGGTACCATTACCACTTTCCTGGCAGTACAGTTTCAATCCCATCCACAATCCCACCAGTGGAAAGGTTCCACGAAAAGAAATTGCTCTTCCACTGTGGGATCTAGTGACAGTGGCAATGTCCTGGGCCAAAATGATTTACCGCCGTCGATATCATCCCTACCATTCGCTGACTCAAAAATTTCTCCAGTAATAATAATGTTCACTAACCTCTTTGTCTATATAGTTCTTGTGGTCTTTCCATGCTCTAGCTGATTCATACACCTCTTTCTCACAGTGCACTGTGTCATTGGCGAGAATGTAACACCTACAAAAAAGAAGGAAAAATTGCACATCACTTAATCCATAAATATTTCTTAAAACACTTCAGCACAAAACAACCCAGGGCCTTTCATGGCTAAATTTGAGGGTGAAATGAACGGCGTTTTATAAAACGTTTGAAGTAAATGAGCCATCGATGTGAAAATCTAGGCGTTCACTGAAAATAACCCCACAGTCACTACACATTACAGTAAATCCTGTGAAGCACTTTGAGACATTCTCCAGATGTGAACGACACTGTATCAAATGCAAAGATTAATATTGTAATATAAAATCAAACGCTTAGAGAACCAGGTAATCCTTTCCCCCTTTCAGGGGTGGGGAGGGAGGGAGGAAGAGACTCAACAACATCAACAAAAGCATCAACTTGCATTTACATTGTACCCATCACCTGGGAAAGCATTGATTTTAAAGGGTTTCATACCCATACATCGAAGGGCGGAATGTTCTACAATCTGATAATCATCACATGTCGAAGTTCCCACCACGTTTAAACTCAGGAGTTGGCGAAGCAGCGGGTGAGGGTGGGGGAAACAACTCACTTGTGCGTTACTTTGACTGAGGCCAGTGATGCTCCAACAGCATTGCCCACATCCTCTGCAATCATCGTGTTGTCATCTTCCTCCTCCTTCTCCTCCTCCCTGCCCTGGGATTGGCTGCTGCTATTTTTTGGTAACAGATCATCAAGCCCTTCATCATCCAGGTCAATATCGTAAATTTCCCCTTCAAACTCGACTGCAATGGAACGGATTGGACGAGTGCGAATGAAACGAGGCTTAAATTCTGTTTGTGAGAGAGGCAGCATTACACATTAACATTAACCCTGCAAGACAAATCCCTAATGATGCTAAACTCATCAAGCAGCAGAAAGCTTGCCAGGCAGTGCTCTCAAGGGCAAACTATGTGTTTTTAGCTGGTTATCTCCAACAGTATCCCAACCCACACTCTGAGGTTCCCAAGCCTTGGCTCTTGCCAACCTTTGTGTAATACTCTCCAGAATTAGGTAAGAAGGATGTGTTCCTCCAGGGAGAGAGTGCGCATTCCACTCCAGCTGAAGGGAAATGTGTATGTGGAACCATCAGCCTGGTTTGGGGTACTCTAAAGCTAGTGGGTTTCCAGTTGCTTCAGACACCTCACCGACCAAATAATAATATTAATGTCACTCACTGACACATCTCTGAAAAGTGTCTCAAAAGCTCTGATTTTGAAGAGTATCAGAATTTATTCCGAGCCGGGGGGAAAGATTCCTTCCCTCTTTGGCTGATCAAGCTCAAAAAATAAACAAGAAAATCCCAAATCAGTTAAGAGTCTCCCAGAGCTAAAAAATTACAAAAAATTTCAAAAAGTCTTCAGATTCAAAAAATAGAGTGGCAACAGACAAGTTGCAAGAGAACTATTCCCTTCTCTGGAGAGGCTTGCTCCCTTTGCTGGCAGTTTCAAACCCACCTTATTTATCACAAGGGAATCTTTAAAACCACTGCAAGGTTTGCCCCAGTGGTTTTCTTTAAATGGAAAGTTCCCTTTGCAGTACCAGTGGTAGTGCTGGTTGGCAGGTATCAGAACACCATTTCCCACACACCGTCTATATATGATAATCCAATAACAATCCTTGCATTTCATATAGTGATTTATCACGTCTTTGAGATGTCTCTAAGTACTTTACAAAATATACTATAAAGAAAATTGCCTGTATATTTTGTGGGTGAAACGCGGCAGCCAATTGTGCACAGCAGTGTCCCACAAACAGTCGTGGATTGAAGTGACCAATTTTTTTTNGAAGGAATTATTACCCCCGGAAAAGCGATCCACCAATCGATTAACAACCAAGTTCCTACTTACTGCTAGTTAAACAGAGGCATTTGTAGTAAAGAAATTTGCCCAACATTTTACCCTGCTAGAAATCAAACCCAGGTCTCTTGCTTGCAAGGAGAGTGCTCTAACCACTGAGCTCTTTGACCGTGCCTTCAGCTCCCCTCTCGACTCTCTTCCCCCTCCTCGCTCCCTCCCTTCCCTCCCCTCACCCTGACCATTTCCCCCCTCCTCGCTCCCTCCCTTCCCTCCCCTCACCCTGACCATTTCCCCCCTGCTCGGGTCATGACCCAACTGTGCAGCGCCTTGGGACGTCCTCCTGACGTGAAAGGCTCTTTATAAATGGAATCTTGTTGTTGTTGTTGAGCTACACGTTCCCCTGTCAAGATCTGGGGTTGCTTTGGCACTCACTCTGGGTCGTGTGCATCCTTAGAAATCGCCTCTGATTGCGTCTCTCAGCCTGACTCATGCGGTAGTCATCCTCGGGGCAGTCACAACGGTTGCTGCTGTAGATGTGAGAGCCCAGGCTCCTACTTTTCTTACTGCCGGTCAGTAGCTTGATTGTCCCTTTGCATTTGTGGAGTCGGAGTTTTCCTGAAGCATCTTCAACACATTGCCATTTCTGTCAAGAGACACGATCTGGTTACAAGTAGCACAGGACCAATGTTAGGCAACGTGTAAATAAAAGTAATATAAAACATATTAGATTTTTCCTGTGTTAGAGGTGCTTCTTTTATTTCATATAGCACCTATAACGTCTGAAAGTCATTCACAAACTTTTTGTGTGTAGTGTTAGTGAAAACAGCGAACAATTTGCGCACAACAACGTCCCACAAACGGCTATGAAGTAAATGGCCAATTGAATCTGGGGAGGGGATTGTTAGGCAGGACACCGGGAGAAACTCCCTTTCCTTTTCAAACAGTGCAGTGGGATCTGTAACATCCACCTGCACAAGCAGCCATTGATTTAACATCTTATTGAAAGCACAGCACCTCCAGCAATCAGAGGTCCCCTAACTTTGCATTGGAATGTCAGCCTAGGTGATGAATTCAAAGTCTTGACGTGGATGCTCGAACCCACAATCTTCTGACTCAGAGGCCAATGTGCTAGCAACTGAACTTGACTGACACAGAAATAAAAGAATGGGGAAAAAGGCCTCAAATCCACTCTGAGGAAAAAAAGTAGAGGTGATGTGAAAGTAGCCAACCTGAGATCTGACATCCTCATGATTTCAGTCTAAAGATCATTCTTTTAAAATTAATGACCATAAGGCATTTTGGAAAATTCTTAAATTCAGTCTTAAATTAGGAGTGGGTTTGCCATTGGCAGAATGCAAGAATTTTCCAAAATACTGCACAATCTTATACAGGATTTTTAAGAAGTTGTGGTTTAGTCTTAATTTATTCTTCATTTTTTTCACAGACACCTGCTTCCAAACTAAACCTGGATTTAAGGACTTCCCGCATTTCTGCGACACCCGGGTTTTAAAGAATGAAATGATGTACAGGCTAAGACCAGGCGAAATTTATGACTTCAAGCTGCAGTACTGCCCAGTGCAGGATGGTGGCAGCAAAATTCTTCACAGAGGCAAGCCCAGCTGTTCAGCTCGAAGACTGGCCGACAACGGACACCTTAAAGTGCTTCATAGCATTTACTGTAAAATGTTAGCGACTGTGGTAGTGACTGTATATTTTGTAGGCGAACGCAGAAGTCAATTTGCGCACAGCAATGCCCCACACACAGCCATAAAGTGAATGACCAATTTTATCTGGGGGATTGTTGGCCTGGACACCGAGAGAAACTCCCTTCGCTTTTCAAATAGTGCTACAGATTTACCTGACCAGGCAGACGGGACCTCGGTTTAACGTCTCACCTGAAACGACGTCACCTCGAACAATGCAGCCCAACAACTGCTCAGTATCTAACAGAAGTATCACTTTGGATTAACATTAATGACCTGCAACTCTTAACCCACAGTACCCCCCCCCCAACGCCCAATGTCCTGCTCAGTCGTGAACGATGCAGTCTCTAAGTGTAGCTACACTGGAAAGCAAATGGATCAGTGTCCTCACAGGGTCAAGCCACGCATTGCACGGATTCCAATTACAGATTTTTTAGACCCAAATCTGTTATCTTTGGCGCTGACCAACATAAACACAGGTGCAGCCGTTATTCTATCTCTGCAATTGGCTTGAGTGACTTATCAGACTTATTTTTTACTCTTGTCTGCATCGAGTACCTTCCAAACCTAGCATCGTCTCTTAGCACGAACCCCACGCCGCTGAAAATTAACCAAAGGCAATGGCAAACACAAATAGCAGAACCAGCCAGCCACACTGATGTTTAATGTGTTTTATTCCTTTCATAAAACGTTCTTTCCAAGCTGTGGGTTTTACTCCTTACTCAGTTCCTTCTCTGTGGTTTGTCTCCCCCTCTCTTGGTCTCAACAGGAAGGAGTGGATATTACACTTGCCCTTTGCTCTCTGACAATACAAATTGTCTGCCAGGAATAATGTATAAAATTCTAATTGTAAGTGTGGGAGCATGTCTGCATTCAGCATTGCTGCCAGGATGAGTATCTGATCACAATCATCTGCGCCACAAACCCCTTCTGATGCCGTCTGGTGCATTCCTCTCCACAAAAAAATCTTTGTATCCGAGCTATTTTTCGAAGACTGACTGGAGAACACAAGAAAGCACAGCATTGTGTGTCAGTCTGGCTCAGTAAGTAGCACTCTGGCCTCTGGTCAGGCAGATGTAGGTTCAAATCGGGGTCGTGTAGCTCACATTCTAGACTGACACTCCAGTGCAGTGTTGGGGGAATGGTGCCTTGTAGCTCAGTCCAGACTGACACTCCAGTGCAGTGTTGGGGGAATGCTGCCTCGTAGCTCAGTCTGGACTGACACTCCAGTGCAGTGTTGGGGGAATGGTGGCTCGTAGCTCAGTCTGGACTGACACTCCAGTGCAGTGTTGGGGGAATGGTGCCTTGTAGCTCAGTCTGGACTGACACTCCAGTGCAGTTTTTTTTTTAGTATGACTCCAGGTGTTAATGGTGCCTTGTAGCTCAGTCCAGACTGACACTCCAGTGCAGTGTTGGGGGAATGGTGCCTCAGTCTGGACTGACACTCCAGTGCAGTGTTGGGGGAATGCTGCCTTGTAGTTCAGTCTGGACTGACACTCCAGGTGTGGGGGAATGGTGCTGTGCTGTCACTCCAGTGCCAGTGTTGGTGAGTGTTGGGAATGGAGCTTTGTCTGGACTGACACTCCAGTGCAGTGTTGGGGGAATGGTGCCTTGTAGCTCAGTCTGGACTGACACTCCAGTGCAGTGTTGGGGGAATGGTGCCTTGTAGCTTAGTCTGGACTGACACTCCAGTGCAGTGTTGGGGGAATGGTGCCTTGTAGCTCAGTCCAGACTGACACTCCAGTGCAACCTTGTTGAAGGTCCATCGGATGAGACCATGTCTTAGAATTTGATATCTCAACATCAGTCACTGGGGATACATGCACAACTGATTCTCTCTGTTCTATTGCACATGCACAGATGGGCATTTTAACCTTTCACCTGCTTGCTCCTTCATTTCTTTCTTTTAAAGAGACTTAACCTGACGTGGACTGAAACTGGGACAATCTATATCATTTCAATCATTCAGTGCACATCAGCGTTCATCCACTTTTGCCGACAAACACACAGTCACTACTCTTTACATTGAAATCCTGCAAAGCGCTCTGGGGTGTTTTGCTGACGTGATACATCAAATACAAGGCTTATTATTATTATTAAACCTACGATGTATATTAAAAAAAGCACTGAATAAATCAGAGTTGGATGGTATATGTAGTGCAAAACGCCCCATAACAATTACAGTCTGACCATGAGATGGGGCTATTTCCTCCACACAAAATAAACAATTGTAACCTATATTAAGAGATCACCGGTTTCCTGAGATCACGAGAGGTCACTCACAAAACTAGTCAGGATCTACTGTATTGCTGCAAAACTAGAGATAATCATAATAATACTTGTATTTATTATAGTGCATTCCATGTCTGAAGCACGTCTCAAAGCGTAAATAGGATTTACTGCAAAGTGTAGTGACTGTCGATTAGCAGGTGAACGTGAGGGTAGTCAATTTCGCGCACAGCAATGTCCCACAAACAGCCATGAAATGAATGAACAATCTTATTTGGGGAATTAGTGCCATGGGATCTTTAATGTCCAGCTTCTGAACGGGACTTCGGTTTAACGTCTCATCTAATGGAAGGCTATTTCTTCATGCATTCAAATACCTGACTAGGACCAGTGTCTCTTTGTAATCCCACAATAGCCCTACTTTATTACATTCCATTCTGTGACCTACAAGCATCAGTACCTTTAACTACAAAAACTGCCTGAATACTTCCATTATAAAAGGATTATCCCCAAAGTATTGCAGTCCTGTGGTTCTCTGTAGCGCTTAGTAATTTTCTATTTAATTCCCTTTCAAATCCCTGTGTCACAGGATTGATTTATTACCAGCCGTTTCCCACCCCACTCTGTGAAGAAGAATGAAACGTTCCAGTAAGAAAATTCATTACAGTGTAGCAAATGGAGAACGAAAAACCGTTGTGAAAACATGTCTTTAAACCAGTTTCGTACAAACAGGCAAATTAGAGGGCGGGGACGGGGATGGGTGATGAAAAAATGTGTTGTGAAATTAATAATGGCAACACTAATCTTATTGCAGTGAATGAAATGTCAACAAATTAGAACAAGATAATGCAACATATTTTCTGTTCTGATGATCAAGTACAAGATGTGATAAGACGTTATATCAAATGCAAGGATTATTATTCTTATTACTTTACATAAAGCATTGTGGAGTGAGAATAATCAACAAGATAATGCAACATATTTTACGTTAATTTTTGTTCTGGCTGAATTGGATTTTAGCAGAGATTATAAATCAAGTTAAGAGTCTTGAACTTAACCAACCGTATTAGTCACAAGGGAAGGCATCTGAATAAAGAAGTTACATTTACACAAACTGTTGTGTAAAACCAAGACTTAGACATGAAAGGTTCACTGATAGCAATTTGTCATTAAAGTAGCTTAATCTACAAAAGTGGAGTTAGAGCTTTCCGAGACCAATCCATCTTGTTCATAGTTATTTGAATCAATAAAAAATGGGTTGAAATGTGTTAATTAACCTTGATTCCTGAACTAAGACTCCGGAGAACTTCATCCTCCCTGGGTTGGCTAATTTCCGACTCGTGCATGCGTGCAACATTCACAAGATTACAAGATTGGTTCAGATGAAGAATGACATTCAGCCCATTAGCTTATCTTTCCAAAATGCCCAATCTACCATCCATTTTTTAAATACGTTCAATAATAAATTGGTCACTATTAATAATAATAATCCTTGCATTTGATATAGCGCCTTAGCACATCTTCGAGACGTCTCAAAGCGCTTCACAGAAGTGAATTGACTATATATTTTGTGGGCGAAATGCAGCAGCCAGTTGCGCATAGCAGTGTCGCACAAACAGTCGTGGATTGAGTGACCAATTTATTATTATTATTATTAAACCATTCTTCCTGATTTCCTGTTCGTTATTATTTGCCTTCTGGGTAAGTAAAAAATCGTGTATCTGTCCTGAAATTGGGCTTTACATTCCTAAACCTATGTCCTCTTATTTTATTGTCATGGTGTACGTTAAAGTACTGTTCCGAGTTTACTATTTGAATCTCATTTAAAATTTGACATACCTCTCCAAGGTCTCCACTGATACATTTCCTTTCAAAGCCCTAGTTTGTCTCATTGTTGCTCATAGCTCATTCCTGTAACACTGGGAATTATCCACATTGCTCTCCCCTGCACTGCTTCTAGGCCCTGGACAGACCCATGATGTTGAGATGACCAGAACTGTATGCAGTTCTTTAGATGAGAGCTGACCACAGCATTATACAGCTTCAGTTTGATTTGTTGGGATCTGAAATCTCAACTGATTTTGTAATATAGCCCAGCGTCCTCTTTGTATTTTTTCTGCTGCCTTGCACCGTTTTAACGTAGTGAGTGATGAGTCAATGAAGACCCCTATATCTCTTTCAGCTTCCTCCTTGACAAGTTCTAACCCACTGATGTAATGCCTCCTATTACTTTCTATATGTAGTACCTTGCATTTATCTGTAATGAACTTGATTTGCCAGTTGTCAGCCCGTGTGGATACCTTATTATACCTTACACTCTCGCTGTGAATCGAGACCATTAATGTAACAAAGGAACAGAAGAGGCCCCAGTACAGATCCTTGAGGCTCCTCGCTTAAAACCTCTCCCGTTTTGATCTAGATCCTCTAATAAAGACCCTCCACTTCCTCCCCTTGAGACAATTCTGAATCCATGTCCATCTGTTGTTCTTGACACCCATTGACATCAGTTTGTGAAGGAATCTTTCATGCAGTAGTTTGTCAATTCCCTTTTGGAAGTCTAGATGTGCTGCATCATATAGCTTTCCACAGTCAAATCAGGATGTCACCTTCTCAAAACAACCACTCTATGGGGTTGGTAAGACAACTGAGTTTCCTTTCATGAGCCGGTAGCAATGCTAATATTAAACAATCAGTTCCTCTTCCAGTTCCCTTTGTATCAAACTGTGATAAATTGGAAATAAAGCACAATGACTGCGAAAGTGCATAATCATCATTGAACATGCTGAGATTTTTTGCACTATTACCACTTCTTTTCATAGATTCATAGATTCACAGAATGTTACGGCACAGAAGGAGGCCATTCGGCCCATCGAGTCTGTGCCGGCTCTTTGACAGAGCAAGTCACCTTCACTAACCCCAATCACCAGCTTTCTCCCCATAACCCTTCTTCTCCCCAGTTTTGTTTCAACCCAATACCCCCTTTTGTTGTACAACCCCACTTTTGTTTTACGCCACTATCACCTCCTTAACCCATCAACTAACACATTCTCTCCTTTGTCTTCTTTTCTGCCTTCTTTGTTGTCCTTGTCCTGCCTCCCCTCCTCAACTTGTCCTTAAAAACCTCTCCCTCTCAACATGCCCCAATTCTGATGAAGGGTCGTAGATCCAAAATGTTGATTCATTTTCCTTTCTCCATAGATGCTGCCTGACCTGTTGAGTTTTCCCAGCTCTCTCTGTTTTTGTATGCTGAGATGTGTTGCCCACCAGGAAGCTCCTTGTACCTACCATCCACCTAGTCAGGGCTGAAACCTGCTGTTGTCGGATGTTGAACGACTAGTGACTAGTGACTATCCTCCTTGTGGGGGGAGGTAAGTGGGGTCTCCTTGGAGCTAACTTGGCTCCAAGGTCATATGCCTGGCAATGGAATGTCAGAATCAAGCCAGACCTCTGTGGCGGTCTCAGTATTCAGGTTCCAGAGCCAGGTGGGTCCGCAGTACTTTAGGGCACAGCTAGCCAGGCTCATTGGCAGAAACTGGAAGGGCAGACCAGTTACTGGGGGCAGGGAGTCATCCCACTCAGCTCCTGTTAACCCTGCAAGCCAAAAACCTATTGGGAAGGATGGTCCTAGCTGGACAAACAGCGGGAAAGCTTGCCAGACAACAATATCAATGGCAAGCTATGCAGTTTTAGCTGGTTAGACTCCAGCAGTATTCCAATGCACACTCTGGGGTCCCCAAGCCTTGGCTCTTGCCAATTTGCGCCTAATACTTTTTGTAATTAGGTAAGCAGGATGCGTTCCTCCAGGGAGAGTGTGCATTCCATTCCAACAATCTATCTCTGGGATTTCCATGTGTAGGTGGGATGCATAGAATTCTCATTTGGTTTGGATACTCTTAAGCATAGTGATGAGTTACCGCATGTGTCAAGACACCTGGCTGACCAAAAAAAAACATTTGGGCAGCCAACATCAAAGTACAAGTTGTTAGCGGTGGATTACAACCAGTTCTGTAATAGCACCAACTTACCCAAAGCCAAATGAGCAACCATGACTGGAACTCTTTGAATACGATGACAGAAAAATAATGTGAGATGCCCCCACTTCAAAGGAGGCTAATCAACCTGAAGGAGACGGTTCTGTTGATGGAGACGAGAGGTCACCTCATGCCTTGCAGCTTGTAATGTGTTTTAGGCACTAGATTTTGTATCGCCTGTGCTTTCCAAACTTTCTTGAGTCAATGTTAGGGATAGCATTACGGTTCAGCAGCACTGAGCAGTACACTTACCATCCTGTTCGCGTGACCAAATAATGAATCTACCTAAATGTGCACACTCACCTGTCCGGGCTGTTCGCAGGCAGTCTGGTACTTTGCCTGTTGACACACTTCCTTCACCCTTTCATATTTTGGTAGGTAGTTGGTTTGTTGGGCATCACCATTTCCATCTTCTTTCTTACGAAGTAATTTGCTGGAAAGAAACACAATTAAGTGTTTGGGTAAACTGAGCCAGGACCTGAGTTTTATAAGAACAAGAATCCTTCCGTTTGATATTATGTCTTATAGCGTGTCAAAAGGTCTTACAGGATTTCAGAGGATGTACTGTGAAGTGCAGGGACAACAGTTAGTCTGTGGGTAAACGTGGCAACCAATTTCGCACGAGCAATGTACCACAATCAGCTGTGAGTTGATTGATCAATTTCATCTGAGGGGATTGTTGACCAGGGCTCCGGGAGAATCTCCCTTGTTTTGAATAGTGCCAAGGCATCTTTTATCTGCCTGAACAAGCAACTCAGTTTTAACGTCTCATCTAATGACCTTAAGTTTGACAATGTAAGTGCCCCTCTAGCCTAGATTAGGAGCTGAAAGTTGTTTTCTTTCTACTTACTCTAAGAAGACATTGAAATGCAGCTTGCTTTCAGGTAATAACTGATAATGGTTTCGGAGGCTTGATCAAAAGTCCTACTCAACATGTGTTAACCCTGTAAGGCAAAGCCCTAACAGGTGTGGTGATTCTAGCTGGACAAGCTCTGGCAGATTGCCACTGCTCTCAATGTGTGGTGTTAGTTTGATGCCGGGAGGTGTTATATCAAATGCAAGAACTCTTGTGTATTATTAAATGCAGTGACTATGTATTTTGTAGGCGAACGCAGCAGCCAATTTGCTTACAGCAACGTGGCACAAACAGCCATGAAGTGAATGACCAATTTTATCTGGGGCTTTGTTGGCAGGACACCGGGAGAAATTCCCTTGTTTTTTCAAATAGGAGTAGGGCTCATGTAGGAGCAGTGTGCTAAATCAGAGAGTGCATGAGATAGAGAGAGAAATCCATATCTATTACAGGGGGAGACTGGGGCTTAGTGCTATTTCCTGGGGCTTGATTCTAATCAGTGTTCAGATGTCTTTTAAGATGGCATATCTCACTCAGTCTCAAGTTAAGAAAGCTGAATGCTGATTAATATCAAGCCCCAGGCCTTCAGGTGTAGACTTTGATTTGTGAGATCACTAAGATGCTCGTCTCTGCGGAAGGAATTTAAAAGTTGTAACAGTGTCGACGCTTTCAGGTTCACTACAGGCAAAGCACAGGGGCTTCCTGCCAGCTAACAACTTTTGTCTCTTACCACCAAATGGCCTTTACGTAAATTAAAGCAAATTCTGAATTGTCACGAAGAAACACAGAGCAGTAGTCATATAAAAATATTGCTGCACTGAAGTCATTAAACTAAGTAGTTACTACACTTAATGATAATCCACTCTGAAGTGCTTTGACACGTTTTGATGTGATAAAGCGCCTCATCAAATGTAAGAAATATTATTATCATAACCATTCTAGAGTCTCCTCGCAGATCATGTTTCACCACAGCAGTGATGAAAGGAACTGTGGTGGTGGAAATCTGAAATAAATCCATAATTATAATAATAATCCTTGCATTTGTTATAAGACCTCCCCCATCTAAAGCACTTCAATGAATTTACTGTAAACAAGTAGATGAACATAGCAGCACAGCAGCCATTAAAAAAATGACCAATTTTATTTGGACACCAGGAGAAACTCCCTCCACTTTTCGAATAGTGCACTGGGATCTTTAACATCCACCTGAACAGGCAGACAGGACCTCGGTTTTACATCTCATCCAAAGTGCGACACCCCCAATATTCCAGCACATCAGCATTCCAGCATTGCACTGCAGTGTCAGCCTAGACTATGTGAGCTCAAACTCCCAATGGGGGGGCCTGAACCCACAACCTTCTGACTCAGAGGTGACAGTGCTAAAGCCGACACCTGTTACACTTGGACAGTGACATTTCCTTAAAAGACAATAGGGAAAATTGTATTTAGGGAGAGTTCAAAATTCATTGGGGCCGCCTTGTATTTTACCACAAAATATTATAACATCCAGCTCGGGTACCCAACCAGTACTGTTAACTCTTTGAGACTTCCTCCTGACATGAAAAGCGTACTATATAATGTAATTATGTATTCTATTGTAAATGCGTATGGAAGTATATAAGGTTTGCTACTGTTGGGAGAGTTATACTTTGTGTAGATGTTTAAGCTACTGATGTTACATTTGGGATTCAGAAGTACTGAACATTTGCTTCTGAGTTTGTATTATTTGGGGAAGGGAGGATGAATGTAAAGTACGAGTTGCTAATCCATCGTAACTTACCCTCTCTCCACCAGGAACGTATCACGCCAAAGTTTGGGCCTTTTATTTGAGCGGAATCTGAAAGAAATTTTTTTTATATAGATAATGACTGGACTCTGGGACACAATGTGGATAAGATATCTTACAGAACTTTACTACTAAGAGGTGGAAATGAAAGGGCGGTCTATACTGGAGGATACCATGGTGGTTGGAAAGAGCAGATGAGAAGATGTCAAGTATTAGTGGATCACCAATACTGACACTGGGTCTTATTAGTTTGTAAAAAGTGGGACTGATGGAAGAGATTCTTCTTCTCTTCCTTTTTGTTTTGATCAGACGGGTGTCTGACATGCGGACATGCGTCACCAACCTTAGGGGTATCCAAACTAGACTGAGAGTTCCACATACGTATGTCAAATTTCCAAGTGTAGGTGGCATGCATTTGCGTAATTGTCAGTCTGTTTAACAATAATAATCCTTGCATTTGATACAGTGCCTTATCACATCTTCTAGACGCCTCAAAGTACTTCACAGAATATACTGTAAAGTGAATTGACTGTATGTTTTGTGGGCAAAACACAGCAGTCAATTGCGTCTTGTTTGGATACTCCTAAATGTGATGATGGGGTCCCCACATGTCAGTCACCCGATTGACCAAGAAAAAGGAGGGATAGAATGAAATAGGAGTTTCTAAACTTTCACATTTCACCAAATTCCTTTAAAGAAAGGCTTTCCCACATTTTGCAGTGTGGGTGTAAGTGTTAGGACTCAAGAGGCTTAGACCGACCTGTTTCCTGGTTTCTCAGCTTCTAGCAGTTTCAGGATGGACTTGCCATCCATATCAGGCGGGATGTCGAGGCCTGCAATATCCAAGATAGTGGGAGCAAGGTCGATATTCAGAACAAGCTGAGGGATGCTGTGGAAACAAGCAAAGCACCATTACAGGGAGACAGCAAATTCAACATTGCCTCTGTCCTAACCAGAGTGTACCTCAGCACCACACTGATGAAAACAATAGAATACAATTAGTTACCTCAACAAAATGCCCAGCTAGATCTGGTAAAATGAAACTCGAGTTGCAGGCTGTTATTTTTTCTTTGGTCAGCCAAGTGCCTGGATATGTGGATACCCATCGCCATGCTTCAGAGTATCCAAACTAGACTGAGAGTCACACATATGTATGCCACCCACACATGAAATATTCCCTGTGTCTGGATTGGAATACACACTCTCTCCTAGGGAATGTACACCCTGCTTACCTCATACTGGACTCTATTGGGTGCAGGTTGGCAACAGCCAAGGGAGGGAGGGAGGGAGGGAGGGAGCGAGGGACAAAAGGGTTAAAGTAGTCGAGTTGAAGGCTAAAAATGTGAAAATCAGATACACCGCAGCATAAACAGCCATGAGGGAGAAATTCCACCTGGGTTTAGATTTACTCTCAAGAACGGTTCTCTGCTAGTCTTAAAAGTTTGCCATATTCTGCACGCTGTGAAAGACTAATTAAACAGAGTAAATCCAGAGCAAGGTGGAATTTCTACCTCCATGTTCCTGGGATGAATTGCTTCCTCCTGCTCTCACACATTTAACATTAACGTTGCTTGGAGAACATAAATGGCCACATGTCAAAGAGCAAAAAAACAAAGCACTGAGAAGCTCAGGAACACTGCAGGTGGATGAGGCTTTTGTGGCTTTACACAAGAGGTTTATTTTCTTTAAAGTTTGTGCCTCTAACATGAACTCCACTTATATAATAGCTCCACATATAGGGGCCAACCACACACTGATCACTAAATGTAGCAATCTTTACCATCTCTACTTTCAGCCATCAGTGTAAGTTAAAGAAACTCACATTCTTATAGCACTGGATCAAATCAAAACATTTGAAAGCTCTTCAAGAGTAATCACTCTCAAGTGTAGTAATTTTTTTTAAAAAGGCAAATGCAGCAGCCATTAGCACCAGCACCGTCCCACAAAGAACCATCAGGTGAATGACCAACTAACTTATCAGTAGAATTTTTGGCAAGGATATTGGGGAGAAACTACCTTCTTTTTTGAAATAGTGCCATGGAAACTTTAATGAACAGGCAGATGGAAACTTGGTTTAACATCTCATCTGAAGGTCGACATCGCCAACAATGCAATGTTTCCCCATGAACCAGTCAGTGAGCTCAAAATCCCAACATGGATCTTGACAGCCATCTAATAAAGAAGCATCAGATTGAGTTAGATGCCACAGAAAGTGTTTGAAGGTAATTCTTAGTTTATCACTGATTGCCAGTACACTTACTGTTGAGGTGCTCCGTGACAGGGAGGGTGAGATCAGGAGACATGGTTTTGTATGGGGTATAGTAATATTTAATACAGCTTCTTATCACGTCTTTGATAAGAAACTTACAGCCAACTGTCCAGGGCTTTGGGACGTTCTCCCAACGTGAAACGCGCTCTATAAATGGAATCTTGTTGTTGTTGTTGTTTGAGACATCTCAAAGCGCTTCACAGAATATATTATAAAGTGAATTGACTGTATATTTTGTGGGTGAAACGGTTTGCAGTTTGTATGAGACCAAAGTTTGGAGGGTGAGGTTGCAGAGCACAGAATGGGGGAAACTGATTTGACTCCCTCCTTTTGTACTCGCTCTACATTCACTGGCTTGGTGTACGCCAGTGCTGCCAAAACTGGATGGTATTTGGTATGTTGACTATATTGTCCTTGGTTAATTGTGGTGCGTCTTATCTTGTCAATGTTACTTTTGTGTGCCTCTTGGAGAGAAGCCTCTTGCAGAGTGTCTCGAATAGCGGGAAGTGTTACAATCCCTTGGGGAGAAACTCCACCGACATATGTAGCATTTCAGAGCATCCAGAGCTTGACAAACTCTTAAACACAGCCTTAGTTTGGGAGCCATTTTCCTGTAAGTTTCATTTAAGAAACCACAGAGAACCAGCTTTAGGGTAAGATTGAATTTAACAATTCAGCAAATTTTGGACGCTGAAATCTTATGAAAGGCCTGGGTGGGAGTTTCTCTCCAGAGGTCTTGTCGGTCTCGGTCTGTCAGAGCGGTACCTCCATTGCTAGGGCTGGCACACAGGCCAGCTTCACCCTGGCGTACTCACAAACAGATGCCAGTAACATGTTTTTATTTGGGGACACATTTCACAGCCAAATGCATTACTCCCTGAGATCAGTGTATCAGGAGAAAAGTAAACATCAAACAGCTGCTTGTGGCAAGTGGAAAGCAGCAGTTTAGAGTGTAGTATATACAGCGTATTGTGGTACATCAACTGATTTCATTAAACTCGCTAGTTCCAGAATGAATGCCTTACATTGACCCCGGTTGCACATTTGGTCCACGGACAAAGAAAGGAACCCGGATATCAAAGTCATATGGCATCGATTTTCCCTTTACCAGTCCAAATTGCCCAATATGGTAACCGTGGTCTGCTGTGTAGATGACATAGGTGTTGTCCAGCTCCCCAGACTCTGTCAGCATCTGAAAGATCTGAAGCACAATAGGGATTGTTTTGTTTATAAAGCAGGCTTGAAACCAAACCTTTTGAACTAGAGGCAAAAGTAACACATGCGGAAACCTATTATTTAAACCCTAGTTAAGGGTATTGGTATCAGACTGAGCCTTCTACATATGTATTATAATAATAATAATCTTTGCATTTGATATAACACCTTATCACGGCTTCGAGACTTCTGAAAGCACTTCACAGAATATACTGTAAAGCCAACTGACTGTATACTTTGTGGGCGAAATGCCACCTATGCATGGAAATTTAATGTGAATTTATCCTGCTTACCTAATCCCGGAGATTATTATGCGCAGGCAAGAGCCATGGCTTGGGGACCCCTGAGTGTGCGTTGGGGCATTGCTGGAGTTTAATCAGCTAAAACCTCAGCTTTGCACTGGTTAACAGGAACCAAATGGGAAGAAGATATGAATAACAGGGTTAGATGTCTGTACAACCCAGTGTCAGCCTGAGAGATGACAAGACACTCCATGCATATCTGTGATTTGTATTCTAACGAACGGGTATGTTACATAATGCGTTGTGGAGTGAGACAATGATCTCCAAAATAACGCAACATATTTTCTGTTCTGCTGGAGTTTTTATTATTTGATTTTAATAGAGATTATAAATCAAGTTAAGAGTCTTGAATTTAGCCAACCATATTAGTCACAAGGGAAGGCATCTGAATAAAGAAGTTACATTTACACAGACTGTTGTGTAAAACCAGGACTTAGACATGAAAGGATTACTGATAGCGATTTGTCATTAAAGCAGCTTAATCTATAAAAGGAGAGTTAGAGCTTTCCAAGACCATTTCATCTTGTTCATAGTTATTCGAATCAATAAAAAAAAGGGTTGGAATGATGAGCCAGGCTGGTAGGGCTGGCTTGGAGAATTGTGGACCCACCTGGCTCAAGAACCGGGTTACCAAAGCTATCCCAGAGGGTTAATTTTATTCATAGTAGCGCATCTACCTTGGAACCAGCTCAGCCCTTTATAGTTTGTAAAATAACAACCAAAATATTTTCATTAAAATTCCTGCTCAGTACTTTCATTATTCTTTACAAAACAGAGGCTTACGTAGACTGTCATTTTTTTTCTTTGTCGTCTCAACAATTTTCTCCTTCACTTGTTTTGCTTCTCCTCCTTCCCGAAGGCGAGTGACTCATTTTTCCTTCTCCTTGAAGGGTACAGTTCAACACGGACTGGGAGGCATGTGATCCACATGGTAATCATTCATGTGTGAAACCTCAACAGTAAAGGTTCAGAGGCAATTTGGTCACAGTAGGTCACCAGGTCACCCATTGACGCAAGTTCCAGCAGGGGTCTCTGGATAGCAGGAACTGTGGCTGAATTCTCCCCCAATCCCTAGCCAACGGCACTGAGGCCAACAGCAGCACCTCTGGCTGTCGTGACAGAGATTAACTGGCTTAGCAGATATCAGGGACCATACCTGGGACCCTCCTGATTTGCGAAGCTTACACACAAGTGAACCAACTAACGGAGTGGAGTCACAGTATTTAGCACTTTGCCTGGCCATATTTAAAAACCCTATCAGCTAAATGTGTAAATAAAGGAGAAATCCAATAAATAATCTCAATGGTGTGGTCTGCTTACTCTCGCTACAGAGTCATCCACTGACATCAGAGTCTGCAACCTCTTTCTCTGGAGAATATTGGTGAACTCCATATGGATAGGCCTCATTGCCCCTGTGAACTGCATGATCCAGTGTTTGTCCATGTTTGGAGCGTAGTTGTAGCTGGGCGTGCTGTAAGGAATAACAAAAACAAGAGTCACTTATTTGGCACCATGGTCCTCTTTAGTTATTTGCTGCTTGTACAATTTACACTTCACAATTACATAGCACTTTTCACCTTGAGAGGATGTCACAAGGCACTTCACACAGGTACAGAACCTATGTATTCATACCCGTGTCCCAGCCAACAAACCTGATAAAATTGGACATTCACTTGGTGGTTGTTTGTGGTCCATTGCAAATACACAATTACTACATGTCACTGTAATATCCTGTGCCATCTCCTATTTTAGAAATGTCCTTGTGTCTTGGATGGTGTGTCCACTCTCTCTCCGGAGGGATGCACCCTGCTTAGGTAATTCCTGAGAGCAGTCGGCAGGTTGGCAACAGTCAAGGCTTGGGGACCTCAGAGTGTTCATTCAGGTACTGATGGTGTCTAATTAGGTTAAAAACTGCACAGTTTGCCATTGAGAGCACTGTATGGTAAGTTTTCCCATTGCTTGTCCAGCAAGGATCTGTTAGGGCTTTGGTTTCCAGGCACAACAGGAGCTGAGTGGGAAGAATCCCTGCTCCTGGCGATAAAAATGACCCATAGCTCTCTTCTCCTCAATTTAAAAAAAGAATGGTTTGCCAACCACTTTCAAAAAGTAGTACCCTTTTAAATATTTAAACACAGCAGTGTTGGTAATTTGCACAGCAACCACTGACTGCACAAACGACTGCTTAACTTACTGTATTGTATGATTAATGATATACTCAGACAACGACAACAACTTGCATGTATATAGCACCCTTCACGCGGAGTAACATCTTGGGGCGCTTGGAAGACATGCAGTATAACAACAACAACAAGATTACATTTGTATAGCGTCTTTCACGTTGGGAGGACGTCCCAAGGCGCTGGACAGAGAACAGCATTTCAGACCTGAGATGGGCTCAGGGGCGGAGAAGGGAGGGGAGGAGAAGGGGGGTGGCTGATGGCATGGTTGAAGAGGAGAGTCTTGAGGCAGGACTTGAAGGAGGCTAAGGAGGGGTCGAGGCGGAGTGAGTGGGGGATGGAATTCCAGAGGTTGGGAGCAGAGTGGCTGAAGGCTCTCCTGCCAATGGTGGGGCGGGTGGGTCGGGGGACATGGAGCAGGCCAGAGCCGGCTGAGCAGAGGGAACGGGCGGGTTGGTAGGGGGTTAGGAGGTCGCAAAGGTAGGGTGGGGCGAGGCCATGGAGGGCTTTGTAGGTGAGGACCAGGATCTTGAACTGGATCCTCTGAAGGATAGGGAGCCAGTGGAGTCAGGCAAGAGTGGGGGAGATGGGGTCACGGAGTTTGGTGCGGGAGAGGACACGGACTGCAGAGTTCTAGATTATCTGCAGCCTGTGGAGGGAGGAGTTGGGAAGGCCGACAAGCAGGGCGTTTGCATAGTCGAGCCTGAAGATGAACAAGAGTTTCAGCGGCCTGAGGGGTGAGGTAGTGGGGGAGTTGGGCGATGTTACAGAGGTGAGGGAAGGCAGAGCGGGTCATGGCTTGGATGTGGGGGAGAAAAGACAGTTGAGAGTCGGACAAGACACCTAGGTTCCTGACTGGCTGGTGAGTTGTAGTGTGTAACCATGGAGGTTGATGTTGCCAGAGCCTGAGGTGCTGAGGCGATGGCGTGAGCCAATCAGGAGGGCCTCAGTCTTGTTCACATTCAAATGTAGGAAATTTGCCCTCATCCAGGACTTGATGTCCAACAGGCAGTCTGTCAGGACAGTAGTGGTCCTTCAGTTGAGGGTGGAGGCAGAAAGACAGAGTTGGCACCTTTTACACTCTATACCAAGCACTGAGATTCGGCTCAATGCATTTAACTGAGTTTTAGAATGCAACCAATGGATCAGACACAACACAAAATAAATAGAGCAACAAAACGTGATGGTCTGCACCTGGTCACAGCGGACATTTTGTTCTGCTCTTTGCTGGCTGCCAGTTTTACTAATGGAAATGGTAAGAGCATCTCTCTACAGTTTTTTTTTACAAAATGTTTCTTGTTTCCAAATTTTGTTCAAAATGATTTCAGTATTTTCTCAACACGGCTTACAATGCAGGGATAAAGTTTGCTTATTTTTAAGTCAGTAAAACAGTAGAATAAGAAGACATGAGTATGTAAAGAGCAATTTCAGGACAGGCATAAGGAAACTTTTCCTTTACCTGGAAGGTATTTAGCTATTGGAACAGGTTGCCGGTAAGAGTGGTTGAAGCCAGGACACAGGATTCACTTAAAAATAGCTTGATGCAGTGATGGGAGGACGGTAGTATAGGTATTCAGGAGGGATTAAATCAAACGAGTGAAAAGGGAATATTAGGAGGGGTGGAGGCTCGTGTAGAGTATAAACATCAGTACAGACTAGTTGGGATGAATGGCCTGTTTGTGTGTTGTAATGTTCTATGTAATTCTATGTAATTGAAACTGGTTATAATGACCACTGGGTGGCAGCACACCCACTTCCAGGAAATAGACTCCTTTCGAATTATAATAATAATAATCCTTGCATTTGATACATCTCATCTTCGAGGCGTTTCAAAGCGCCTCACAGATTATACTGTAAAGTGAATTGACTGTATACTTTGTGAGCGAAATGCAGCAGCCAATTGGACACAGCTGTATCTCACAAACAGTCGTCGACTTGTGACTTTTGTGACTTTTTAGCGACCAATTTATTATTATTTATTTTTTTGGAAGGAATTATTACGCCCGGAAAAGCAATTCGCCAATTGACTAACAACTGGGTTCCTACTTACTGCTAGGTAAACAGAGGTGTGTGCAGTAGGGAAACTTGGCCAACGTTTCAACCTGACCGGGAATCAAACCCAGGTTCTCTCATTTGCGAGGCAAGTGCTCTAACCACTGAGCTACAAGAATTGAATTGACATCATGATTTTTTGAGTTTTGAAGGAGGAATATAATCATAAACTATGGCACCCAATAATCCTTGTGTTTGATATGATCTTTCATCCTTCATATAACAATAATCTTTGCAATTGATACAACAATACAATTTATATTAAAATAGTGGCTTTCACATCGGGAGGACATCTTGGGAGTACTTATTATATTAATCCTTGATATAATAATAATAATAGTCCTTGCATTTGCTATAACGCCTTACCACATCAAAACATCTCAAAGCACTTTCTCAGAGTTTTCACCCATTGGTTATTTAAGCCTGGTGAAGTTAATTAAATAGCACTTTAAAGAATTACTTACTTTCATGGTGCCTTTAAGATCACACAGTAGAATAATTTGGTACGCCTCAAGTGGTTAGGAGGAGTGGAGAAATGCAGGGTGGAATGTTTACTGTTTCCACTTTACACAACAAGTATAAGCCTCTGCTTTGGTAACTACTGACTACTGTAATGGGGATCCATGAAGCCAAAGTATATTTCCTGATAAAAGGCAAAGGAATTTTAATCCCATTAGCAACCTAATTTGACCAATTTTTACTTGCAGCCTTTAACACATGAAAAGTTGTCTAATCCATTAATCCTTCCAACACCAGGCTCCCTTCATTCTGTGACATACATAAGCATTTTGTCATGAGCACGGTCTTAAAAAGAAGGGTTAGATGTCTATACAATCCAGTGTCAGCCTGAGAGACACAGCCACAAGGTCACATACAAGCCCAAAGGTGACAAGACACTCCATGCATATCTGTGATTTGTATTCTGACGATCGGGTACTTTATATAATGCGATGTGGAGTGAGACAATGATCTACCTCAACTACTTCAGTGACTCCACACAGAGGGCTCTCTCTTTCTCATGCCAATCACCAAAACTGGAATATAAATGGGATTTGACATTTATAACGGAAAGAAACATTTCGTTGGAAGTTAATGATTGGCACTTGATACACTCAAGGAGAGCAATTTCTTAATGTCAAACATAAAGCAGTGCTTTCATACCTACAGGGTTGCAGTAATGATATTGGTCCATTATAAATGAAATTCTAAAGGTCATGTGCGTTTGTGACCCACTTATGTTATGCCTTATGTGCCCAAGATGCACATAGGGATAAGAGAAAGCTACAGCACACGGAAGGAGGCCATTCAGCAATTTGTGACTGTGCTGATCCCAGTCATCTGTCTTCTCTATGTACTCTTTTTATATTTCTTGTTTTCAAATATTTACCTCGGTCCCTCTTTAAAGTGAATAAAGATTCTATCTCAACTATGGTTCCAGATCGGGATATGACATTCCAACAATTCTCTTTGCAACAGCATTCTGGCCTCTCTCTTTGTTCTTTTGGTAAATAACAACCCCTCCCCTCCTCCCACCCCAGCTCGGGCTCTCATCTGATTCTGTGAAGCACTTTGAGATGTCAAAGATGTCAAAGGGGATAATAATCCTTAAAATATAATAATAATTTGGTCACTCAATCCACGACTGTTTGTGGGACATTCACTGCTTTGCACAAGTGGCTGCCTCGTTTCGCCCACAAATATACAGTCAATTAACTTTACAGTATATTCTGTGAAGCACTTTGAGACGTCTCGAAGACGTGAAAAGTGCTATATCAAATGCAAGGATTATTATTTATTATTATTATTATGTTTAGCCGGACGTGAAAGGCAGGGCATAAATGTAAAATTACTGTAGCCGCAATACGTGCTTTAGTTACTGCCTCACTGCCCAGTGGCAATAATTTCTTCCTGTTTAATATATCAAAATCTCTCATTCTTTTTAAAAGCTTCTATTTGGTGACCTCTTAACTCTGTTTTAGGGAAAACAGTCCCAGCTCATCCAATCCTTTCTTATACTCAAGTGGAGCGTGTGTCGGAATTGCAGAGCATTGCTCTGCGAAAGTGGAAGTGGAAGAAATGGGGAAAGCAGCCTGACTGTCAGTACCTCCACTCTGGCAACACAGTTCACTTGCAGGAGTTGCACTATACAAACAGCAGGTGTCAGCCTGGCTCAGTAGATAGCACTCTCACCTCCGAGTCAAAAGGTTGTGTGGGTTCAAGACCCACATTAGAACTTTCAGCTCATTGCAAAGATTGACACTCCAATTTCAGTGCGGGGGTGGGGTAGAATTTGTTGGAGATGACGTCCTTTAGATGAGACATTAAGCCAAGTTCCTGTCTGTCTGTTCAGGTGGATGTTAAAAAAACAATGGCACTATTTGAAAAGAGAAAGTTTTTGCTTGTGTCCTTCAATCCCCCAGAGGAAAAAAAATGATCTTTCACTTCATGAATACTTGCGAGACATTGAGTGCAAATTGACTGCCATGTTTATCTACAAAATATATAGACACTGCACTACACAATACACTCACTGCAGTAAATTATCGGAGCTGCTTTTGAGACCTCATACTGACATCAAGGGCACAATATCAAATGAAAGGATTATAATTATAGCAGTACAGTCAAACTCTCTTCTACTTTAGGAAATCATATGTATTGATTGATCTGATCTTTGGGTGGAAATTACCTTGGGGTCTAGATTGACTCTATTAATGTAGCATTTCAGAGCATCCAGAATTGGTCAAATTCGTAAATACTTTGAATTTTGAACCCGGTTGTCTGTAAATTTCTTTTAAGAACTCCGGAAAATGGGCTTCAAAGTCAAAACTGAATTCAGCAATTTGCCAAATTCTGCACACTCTGAAATAGAATAAATCTAGACCTAACACTATGTTAATAAGAGTAAATCTAGACCTGGATGAAATTCTACCCCACTTGTTGCCTGCCGCAAGTTTCATTCATTGTTCTGGTTTTTCTTTCATTTACTAACGGTCAGTGTTGGCAAACCCAGCACCCATTTATTTGACTTGCAAAATGTGCCACAAATAATCAATGAACCTGGAGGATTCCTGGGCAGGGCACTGGGAGAAACTCACCATCTGTGTTTTCAAATAGGCAATAGACCTTTGACATCCACCTGAATAGGCAGACAGGATCTCGGTTTATAACCAAGCTGACAATTGCAGATTGGTATTACTTTGTGGGCGCAGTGCAACAATCATTGCCCAGTTTAACAATCACATTCAGAGTCTACTATCCAAGGAAAGCTGAGGTCTCCTTGGTAACCAAGCTAAAGTCACTGTACCTCAAGAAAGCGGAGATGCCAATGTTTTTACAGGCTGTTTCCAATATTTTGCTAAGGCAGTGCACTCCTCTAATCCTAACAGACCAGTAATGTTTTTTTTACTATAGAAACCAACTATTCAACAGTTGATTGAAGCAAAACTCCTTTTTGCCCTCGTTCCATCTTCATCTTTGTCAGTGGACTGAACTCCTGACCCAAGCAGTCCCCTCGTATAATACTAGGCACAAAAGAGCCCATCAAACCCGATTGTGAAACCGAGGCACATTTTGATACAAAGATGCTCGGAATTTTTGGGGTCACCTACATCGGCCAGAAAGGAGCCCTACCTGACACCTCCTCATACCCTTTGAGTAAAAGGAGCTTAGCAGCACCAGTCCGCCTGGTGTAACAGTGTATGCCGACCTGTCAGATCCATAGAAAAGGCTTTTGACTTCCAACTCAGCTCAGGGAGGACCGAGGGGGGATGTGCTGCGGGCTCTTTAGATCCTGCAGTCACTCTTTGTGCGGTTTGGGTTGTAGCATTGTGCGCCTGGGTGACATGACATGAAGTCTCTCCTGAGCTGTAACCCCTGGTTTCTCATTAATAAAACATCTGACAGGCTTAAACAAAGTGCCAATATATTATTGGTAATATTTGTGCGATGCAAGGCTGGTAACCATGGAATTTTGGCGGGGGAGTGTTCATGTTTCAGAGGAATATTGAGGGAGGCACTTTGGATCCTTTCGGAAACTCGGGGTAACACTATCAATTACATATTCTTGCATTAAAATTCCACACTTAATAAACCTCAGCTCTATGAAGAAGCAGGAGACTTTTGAGGTTGGAAAAACTCTGGGGTCAGCGCGGTGAATAGAGTCTGTAACAGAGAACGTGTGGGAAGAAAGCGGGATACAGGTCTCGACTCCGCTTTCCGGGAAACAGGAAAAAAAAGTAGGTCTGATGGGATACATGGGGGAAGGGAGAAATTATTTTCAGATTGTAGGCACTCCCATTAGCTTTCCATTCTTATCAGATGTATTCTGCCCTATTGTATCCCAGCTGTCTCTTTCTGTGCTCAATTTAACTTGTCCCCTAGAGATAATAAAATGCACACAACGTCTACCATGTTGGACTCGTAGCTCTGGAGCACAAATGCAATTTGAATCGTTAGATGACTCCGGAAGGATTCAAATTGAATTTGCCGATAATCCTGTTACACTTTTGCTCTTCAAGGCCAGGGCCAACCTCAGGTACCTTATTCACATGAGGCTGCCACAGCATTGTTTAACCATTGTACAATGCATAGGAAACCACAAGCCAGCATTGTCTGTGGACCTCTCTATTTTGCTACTGTGGCTCTGAATCCTTCCCGCTCACAGGGCAATGTGGTGAAACACAACTCCCAGCTGTCTTGCAAAAGCCACTATATAAATGTGAATTGTAGTGTATTGTATAACCAGAAGGGCTTCGAGGATGTGAACGATAACGTCTCTATGTAGCATTCTGGTGAAGTTCGACGTCCACATGTCAGTTTAACAGCCGCTTCGTAACTGTTTGTGGGACGTTGCTACACGCAATTTGCCTGCCATATTCACCTATGAAATACAGTCACTACACTTGACAGCACAATTGCAGCTGGCTTTATTTTCATTTAAAATGAAAGATACCAGCTATCGTTAGCTATTGAGATGTGTTAGGGAATGAAGGCGGGATTAAGACTCAGATATGTGTGGAATTTTGAAGCTATGCTCTGACTCTCCTCAGATTCCTTTGTCATCCTCAGAAGTCAGCACACACACATGTTCATCAGCAGACACTCAGCTAAGATGAGACAATATTGTTCGATTCAAAGTGAAGCGATTGCAAATACTTGCTTACGGAAAGGGTTGCAGAATGCCAAATGTTTAGCTCTCTTTCTATTATTCAATTAGAAAGTAAACGGACGTTGCAAGCTATGTGCATTTAGACAAAACATAATTGAAAGATTGAAGGATCTCAGTCTAATATTACCCTTTCCTCTCCCCCACACACATGAAGAAACAGACTTTTGCTGGCTGGTTTGAACTGTAGGGTTTCAGAACACAAAATAAAGAGGACTGGGTGGTACAATACATTGGAACAATTGGGTAAATTTGGGTAAAAAATGCGGTATTCCTTTAACTGCTTCTTAACTTATTTAACAAATAATTTGAGGAACAACATCAGGTGGCACCCTGTGCTCTCCTTGACTGAAAAAATTAACTTTTATTGAATGGCTCAGGGGCTTGACTTGACCAAAAGGCTTTACTGACAAACTGGCACAGGATACATAATAATAATAATCCTTATATTTGGTATAGCAGCTTTCATGTCAAAGCCCTTCACAGGATATACTGTAAAGTGTAGCGACTGTTTTGTATGCACATTTTTAACATTTAACTGCTTGCAGGATGAATGTCACATCACGAGTGACCACATGCAAATCAGAAGAATAATCCTTACATTTGATACAGCGCTTTATCACATCGTTGAGACGTCTCAAAGCGCTTCACAGGATATACTGTCAAGTGGATTAACTGTGGATTTTGTGAGCGAAACACAAAAATTACAGCAGTTAATGCCTCAGAATGCAGCGCCAGAGGGAATGCGCTTTACTCACATGTGCTGTGAGGCATTGGGGAAGAGTTCGGAAAACTGGGGGGCAGAGTCCTCGGGTCCATGGGGCGCAGCGTGGGAAATAACCATGAGTACCGGCCTGTGAGGATAGATCTTCTTGGACATACGGAAGTAACTGATACTATCGTTGGTGATGACGTCTGTGAAGTAATCCTGAAAAAAGAAAATCACACAGGTGTTGAATCATCTATTCCGGCAGAGAAACACGTTGTCAGCTTTAAGCAAATAAAGCAGCTTCACTGGGCTAAAGCACCAGGGAATCATACCCAGAATAGAAGGAATATGATCCAATTTACATTACATATAGCAACTTTCGCATCGGGAGGACGTCTCAAAAAGCTTCTCCTGTAGTGACTGCCCATATGTGTGCAAGTGGAAGACAACCATGGGCATATCCAATCACACGTTCTACATCCACAGCGACAGAGGCACTGCCAGAGGGCTGGGCTCCAGGTCACACGTCAATGTTAGTACAAGCCAACCAGCTGTGTCCTTTCTCCCTCCACAAGATCTCAGCAGGCGCTGGGCATCTGGCAATTAATACTGCAATTATACCCTGAATAGAGAGCAATGTAAGCCCATTGTTTGGAGGAACATTAAGGACAAGAACCAAAGGGGCTTTCTTCCTCGGGGCTTTGAGCTTCATTTAGCTACGCAAGTATTGGAATAGCATCTTGGTTTAAACATGTCAGCTGCTTCCAAAGCATGGTTCAAGCTCACTGGGGTAATAATCTATGCATTTGATATAGTGTCTTATCATGTCGCAGCATCTCAAAGAGGTTCACAGGATTTAAAGTAAAGTGAAGTGACTGTGGTAGTGTAGTGATTTTATAGGCAAATACAGCAATTAGTATTTGCACACAGCAATATCTCACAAACGGCCATGAAGTGAGTGACTGATTTTATTTGGTGGAATGTTTGTTAGGACACCTAGAGAAATTCCCTTCTCTTTTTGAATAGTGAGTTGGGATCTTTAACATCCACCTGAACAGACAGATCTGACCCTGGTTTAATATCTTATTTGAAGGACGGCACCTCCAATAATAAATTGGAATATCAGGTAAGACTATGAGTTCAAAGTTCCAAAGTAGGGCTTGAACCCACAACCTTCTAACTCAAAGGCAAGTGTGCTACCAACTGAGCCAGTGATTTATATAAGTGCAAGTACATGGCGTGTTCCAACTATTCCTGCACTCTAGAATCTTTTGAGGGTCCACTTTAAACAGTAGTGTGTATTGTGCACTATATGCAAGCTATGTTTAAACATATGGGTATCAGACGTGTGCAGAGGGTATTGCAGGTGCCTTTAATTATGTAATTCATAAATGTTGGAAAGTTACACCTTTATTTCGGTGGCCGGTCTTCCAGCCATTCTACCTCCGCTCTCTGGAACTCCATCCCAGAGTCGCTCTATCTCGACCTCACTCCCTTTAAAATCCAGCTGAAGCTCTTTCATTTTGACTGCACCTTCAGACCCCTTATCCCTGCACCTTTATCAGCTCCCCCCATCACCAAATGAGGCTTCCAGTCAGTTGTGTGAAGCGCTTTGAGACAGCCTCCTGATGTGAAAGGTGCTGTATAAATGTAAATTGTTGTTGTTGGGGAAGAGGCAGAAAGTCAATGTTAAGCCAGTTTGCCACTAAACAGCAGTCTAATGCGTGGCCCTGGCAATCCTAGAGGAGGTGATGGTGTCTGGTACGCCTGATTGCCATCAGGAAACGCTACTTGCAATGTAAGAAAAATATTTTAAATGAAACCCTAAACTTTCCCAAATATTACGTTTGGAGGACGTGTGCTGAATATGGATGAGACCTTGAATTGCTAGTATTAGCTGTTCTGCAGAGGACAGCAGCTCTCTGTAGGGAAGAGGTCACCTTTGCGGATAGGAACCCTTGCCCTGTGGAAGCAACCAAGTGAGCTCTGTATCAGTCCCATATGTCCGACACGGCTATTGCAACTGACTCTCCGCAGTCAACAACTAACAAAAAAAAATAATTCCCCAACAACTAAATGGAAATCGCTACGAAGAGAGAGCCCCTGTTTGTGGAAGTGCTGTTCTGGGAGCACTTATAAACTAGAGACTCACATTGAAAGACATTGAAGCTCTTTCTCTCGTTGACAGCAAAGGCAAATGCAGAGAGCCACCGGGAGCAAAACAAATGGTTTCAATTAAATCTTAATTGCTTTCCAAAAATGGTTGTCATTTCGAAAACATTTTCTAATAATGGTTAAGAAGCCCTCACACACTTGCATTATTCATAGGCTGTTTAGATGATCCTCAATTTAACCTTTGTCCAACCTGGAAAATTCAACGATTTCCATGTACGGTATTTCCAATGGGAATTTATGGCTGGCTTGTGGTGAGAGGGAAGGTTTCACATTGTATTTAGTCCAAATAACATTGACATGTTAACAAAGGCAACATTTATCAGAGAAATGAAACCAATACCTTGGAATAGTCAAACCCGTGCTTCTCCTTCAAGCCATTCCTACTGAGGGTGTAGTTATAGAACCGGGAATTTTTTATAAGTCCGACCCACTCTCGCCATCCAGGGGGGATGTAACTGCCATTATATTCATTGAGGTACTTCCCAAAGAACGCTGGGAAGGGAAGCAAAATAGAGGTCATGTCAAATGCACCAGTTTAAAGTGAAATTCACTCCTACAACAACTAGAACACAGGGAATACACAGAAAAATAAGAACAACAATCTACATTTACGGAGCGACTTTCACGTCCGAAGGACATCTCAACGCACTTCCCACAGCTGAATGGGAGTCTGAGCTGAGGTGACCGAAAGCATAGACAAGGTGGGTTTCGCAGGAACCTAATAAATGGGTCTCCTGAGAGGTCACAGACTCCATCTAGCGGCTGAGTCAAGAACAGCTTAATTTATCCATTTAAGGAGGTGGGTCGAATTAGAGGATGGTAAACAACAACAAGAACAAGGCGGGAGGACGTCCCAAGGCTCTGGACAGTGTACAGCATTTCAGACCCGAGCTGGGGTCAGGGAGGGAGAAGGGAGGGGAGGGGAAGAGGGGTGACCGATGGTATGGTCGATAAGGAGGGTTTTGAGGCGGGACTTGAAGGAGGCTAAGGAGGGGGCAAGGCGGAGTGATTGGGGAATAGAATTCCAGAGGCTAAAGACCGGGATTTAAAGATCATTCTTCTTGCTGTGAATCCAATGCTTCATTGCGATGGAGTACTTTTTAAGACTTTGCAGAGCAATTCTTTGTAAGTGTTAAAAGACCGGATGGATTGATTGGCATTAGTAATCCACAGCCCTATCTCACGTAATGGATGAGTGCTGCAATTGCCCACCATGGGAGTTCCTAGCATCACAGGATCACAAGATTGGTTTCGATGAAGAAGGCCATCAGATCTCAACCTTCAAACCCACCCTAATGTCTCCCAATCACACATTAAGCTATTTTTTAGTGCCTCAGCCACCCTTCCTGGCAACCTGTTCCAGTTGTTAATTCCCCTGAAATTTCCCTTTGTATCTCTAAACCTTTGTCCTCTTGTTTTAAACAGTGATACTCTCAGTGCCAGGCACTGGCCCCAAGCTCGCCATTTCCTTGCAGCTAAGGAGGGAGAAATACTACAGACCAATCCAGAGGTTGCCCCTTTGCACTCTCTAATGGCTGGCAGCAGTACTGACCAAGAAAGCAATGTTAAAACAAAACAAACAAATATCTAAGTGAGGATATAATTAAAATGTTACAATATATGATAGAGAAGCAAGTAAACACAAACGCAATAACTCAAAATACTTATTAAAAGCAACACATCAATGAAATAAAAGTTACTCGCTCCTTGACTTATGGAAGCTCTGATGTAGTACTGATTATACAGAGCATGAGGGTCCCAGGTTCAGTCATTACTTCGCGTAGAGGGTAGTGAGAGTGCAACTCACTGCCCAAAGCTGTGATTGAATCAGAAAGAATAGATGCATTCAAGAGGAAGTTAGTCCTTCAAATAAAGGAAAGGGGAATAGAACGGAATAGGAGAGAGTAAGGAATTGGTGGAGACTCATTTGGCGTACAAACACTGGCATGGACTGGTTGGGCTGAGTAGCTGTTTGCTTGTCTATGTAAATCCACGTAAAACTGACCTCAGTGAGGGTGCTACAATTGCCCCCAATATCCATGGGCTACAGAGACAAATAAGCCAATGCTCCTGATCTGGTTGCTAGCCAGTGCTCCCCCCAGAGAATGTGTATGTGTGGTCAATTCGCCTACTGTTATCCACTGTCAAAACTTACATGAAGAATGATGACTTGAGAGGTAGTGAAGGACTCCTGGTGGAAGCTTACCCCCAACATTTAGGATTGCTTCAGGAGAAAAGGGCAGGTATAAAATTGGGGGTCACAGGGAACAAAGGAATTATTATTATTTGTTTGTTATTTGGTTGAAATTTGACACGTTTTATTATGTACGCCTTATGATAATTATCACAAGGAATGATTACAAAATGTTGGAAGTTTCACCCCTTTGAATCAATAATAATAATTCTTGCATTTGATATAGCCCCTTATCACATTTTCAAGACATCTCTAAGTGCTTCACAGAATATAGTGTAAAGTGAATTGACTGCATATTTTGTGGGCGAAACAAAGCAGCCAATTGCGCACAGCAGTGTCTCACAATTAGTTGCGGATTGAGTGACCAAATTATTATTTATTTATTGAAAGGATTATTACCCCCGGAAAAGCGATCAGCCAATCGACTAACACCTGTGCTCCTACTTACTGCTAGGTGAACAGAGGCGTGTGGAGTAAGGAAACTTGCCCAACGTTTTGCCCTGTCGCGAATCGAACCCAGGTCCTCTTGCTAGCGAGGCGATTTCTCTAATCACTAAACTACAGGACTCCAATTTGAAGGTTGTTACTTTCCACTGTTATCCGGTTATTATAATGTCATACTAGTGTCTGCGAAAATGCTGTGAGATCTTTGACTGAAGTAAAGTATTGCTAGCAGATTAATGCATGTGGCGACTTTATTTTGTCTCTGCATCTCTCAATTCTACAAGTGATCACAGCAACCCTTTGCTGACATCTTCGCTCCTGGGGCTCAAAGCCATTCACAGCAAGCATAAGGGAATGAATACAGGAGCCAGGCAAGACTGAGCTGCCAGAACCATTCAATGCTCACTGTACAATCACTGAGATTTTAACTAGAAATCTTCAAAAGAATTTGCCTGAAACCACATCCCATGATAATGTATTGCACTTGGGCCCTAATCTTGGGAAAAAAAACCTACACTGAATGCACCAATTCTAATATGGACTTTGTGGGATCTATGGTTCTTGACTGGTTTGAGTGTACTTTAGAATTGGAATATAGTGCTAACTTTTTTTTCCCATAGTGGTTCCCATCAGGCTTCACTGACACTACTGTAACCCGAATAATCCCTTGCAATGAATCTCCTTTGTACATTGTCAAGTTAATATATTTGTGCTGCCCTTCACGGATCCCAGTCTGTGCTGGCGCACTCTAAATGAGCTCTAACCAGTGTGCAGTATGCTAATTGCTTCACTTCAGTTGATGCCTGGTAAATGTTTCTTTGTGTAAATCCCAAAGCCCCATTAACTTCACGTCCAATGTCACTAATATTAATTTTCTATGACAACCCGTGCGTTGCTTCAACACCTAAATCCGGACAGTAGTTAATGGCCTCCATGTTACTGCTCTTTATTGAATATTCATGCAGAAATGCCTTTAGTTCTTTTATGGTTTGCACTCTTGTGGTTCTCTCCTGCATTAAAATGTGTCACTCAATGCTCAAATAGAACGGGCAATGGTATTCTTTTAGCAAAACTGTCAGATGTATTATTTTGAACATACACATTTCTTCCACCATTTCAATCTCTCCAACAAAGGCATTGTGACAAGCAACATACGTAAGTGACAAATGGTCTAATATTCAGCTTTGCAGCACAATTCAGTAGAGTATCTTACTCCTTTAATATGAAGGCAATGTGTTTGAATCAAATAATTACAAAGGAGGAAAAAATGAACTGAGAGAATTCAAAACATATCTTGCAGCACTCGAAACAGCATCAAGGATGTGATTCGAAAAGGAAGAATAATTAATTTAATAAAGGAATGAGGAAAAAGTATTTAGGTGTAAGAATGAATCTTTAGAAACCAGATTTATTATGAGCATGGTGTTCACATAGCACTTCTGTCCACCGATAGTCTGCGAGAGACAAAGTTCCTATTCTTCTGTAGGGAAAGCGGTTCCCTATTGGAAGTCAATGGGGGTAATTCTTCAGCCCCCCACCCCCCACCAATTCTAAGTCAATGGGAAATAATGCTACCAAATGGTTCCTGGCTTCACATTTCCAGCCTCTGAATCACAATCCTTTCTGACACTTGTCTGTGTGAGTCAGACCTCTTGTGAACTGCCTCTAAAGTTCTGATCAGACACATTCTTATATTTCCTCCTTTACTTCTGTATAAGGAAGTATGGAACGTACAGTAACTCTATAGATCCCCATTTACATTGTTCTTTTGCTGAAAAGGTAGTTAGGCGATCTCCTCCCAGGCTCCAATGCAACACTACATATATAGCTGCTCATGAGAGGGGAGTGGGAGAGGGCCCTGAAGAGCAAGAAACTCGCTTTCACCATCTATAATCTTTATATTTGATACAGCGCCTTTCACATCAGGACATGTCAAAGCACTTCACAGGATTCACTGTAAAGTGTAGTGAGGGTGTATCTTTGTACGCAAACGCAGCAGCAAATTTTCACACAGCAATTTGCTTCTCCCCTTAAAGAATGGCTGTTGGACTGAGGTGGAAAAAGGCGACCGGTACCTGTGGCATTGCCCGCTGCAGAAATACACACTTTCAGGAGATTCAAGGGGAAACATCGAAACACAAAATTGCCTCCTTGAGAGGAAATATCTGTTGTCAGTTTGGCTGAGTCTGAAATTTCACTTGCCCAACATGGCAGGTAAAGCACAACACTGTGTATTCCATTTCATTTCCACGAAAACAAGATTGACATACCCAATATGCCCACTGTCCATCAGTACTTTTCAGCACCAGTTGTGATTAAGTCATTAAGAGCGAGAGCTGCCCGGCACTGGAAGAGCATCGACTAATATTACTAACCTGTTCTGTAGCCGGTGTTGTTCAGATAGACAGCGAAGGTGCGGGGCTCGTGTGTGGCCTGCCAGGAGGGCGAGGAGCAGTTCTCATTGTTGGTGTACGTGTTGTGATTGTGGACATATTTCCCAGTGAGCATAGAAGACCGTGAAGGACAGCACATTGGAGTTGTTACAAAGGCATTGGTGAAGTGAGCTCCCCCTTGCTCCATGAGGTTCCTGGTTTTGTTCATCACCTGCAGTGAACCTGAGAAGTGTATATGGTTAGGGCAGCATCAATGGACAGCACCAAACATTAGTATCGCACTCAACTGTGCATCTCTGGAATGAAGCATCACAGCACAGCCCTACTGGGGATTATGGCAGAGTGGAACAAGGAGAAGGCGGAAGCACACCTTGCAGTTTAGGCAGCCCACAAAATGATCACCTAACCCAAGCTGCACCGGCACACAGAGCTGGTTGATGCTGTCTGGCATCAAGACAAGGAGGTAAGCAGTGTTTTCTCCAAAGAATCCCGTTCATCATCGACAGTTGTGAGACTGCCTCCGATCAGAACTCTTGTCAAAGCAGGAGCCTTGTGACTCTGTGCTCTACAGAGGATTGTCTGGAGATACACTGTCTATGTCCCAGGCACCGTTGATTGTGTGCTGTACAGAGTATTGTTAGTAGAAACGCAGTCTACGACACAGGCACTGTTGAGTGCGCAGGATAGTGGACTGTCTGAAGATACACTGCCTTTGTCAAAAGTGCTCTTCCACTTTCTACGCAAAGCGGTGATACCTATCGAGGGCTTTTTCAGACACTGAAATGTACCGTATCAGATGAGCAAAACGTACAACTGCACCCCAGAAGGTACACCACCTCACATTTCGGAATAAAAAAGGTGGTGGTAAGAGCAGGAGGGACAGTGTATTCCAGATGAGCAGGAAGTCAATTCTTTCGCATCGCAGTCAATCTGGGGTTTTCTCATTATATTAAATCAATAAATATTTAGCGTAAACCAGGCCATCTGCGAACCATTATTTTCTTTTGCTCAGTAACTTGGTGTTGTTCACACCAGTTTAAAATTTACTGGCCGCCACTGCACTCATTGTAAAACATGAGCCTGTAATCTTGGCCTTCGCAGCGTGTGTGGCACCTCTTTATGAATAACAAGCAGTCGCTCTGGCAATCCTTCCTTTTAGATAATGAGAAAGAATGATGTGAAAAGTAAACCAAATCCTTTCAGAGTCGCCTTTGGTTCTGTGTAATTCTTAAAAGACATTCAGACCTCAGCAACGACTTCAGACTGTTTTACCATCTGCAGAGGCAGACAGTACAAACTAATCTCAAATGCAATTTATTCTGTTTTTTCTCTCTTGGTCCATTCAAGCTGTTTACAGAGCTTTATTAGCGACTATAGCTGCATTTACACTGGGCAGAGTTTACCAGCATGAAAGCTCTATTAATGCTACACTGCAGACTGCTCCTTGTGTAAATGCCATTGAACTCCCAATGTCAGGCTGAAAGCCTATAAGAAACATACGTGCTCAGAGTGGTCAGAAGGTGGCATCAAGGCATTGCAAAGAGCTCCTCACAATGAGTCTGTATTACCAACCCCGTAAATCTAGTCTCAATACAATTCTTAGGATCAGCACATCCTTACACTACGCCATGCAGTAAAAAAACATGAGATGGATGACTGTCCATAATAAGGGGTCAACGAGACTCAGTTGGTAGCACTCTCACCTGAGTCACAAGGCTGTGGGTTCAAGCCCTACTTCAAGCTCATAGTTAAGGCTGACATTCCAATGCTGGGGGAGTGTTGTATTTTCAGAGTTGGTACCGATGATGGGAGGAGAGAAAGGAGATGAGACCATAGGTACAGTCGAAGAGGGAGGCTTTGAGACTGTACTTGACAACACTACTCCAAATAGAGAAGGGAACCTTTAACTGATGTTGTGGCCAACAGTCCTCATAAATGGGAAATGTTAACTTTTGGCTGATCTGGTTGGTCTTCTTCTAACACAATCCCCTGAAGACCTTACCAATCCCCCCCCACCTCCACCCACCCTCCTCTTCACAAGATCCCTTTATCTTAAACTTTAAGGCACACAATTGTGGAAGCTTCTTAAAATCAGTCTTAACTTAGAAATCAGTTCCTGTTAAGACCTGTGGAAAAGCAGCTTCCCAGTAAGACTGGATTTATGATCGTTCCTCATATCTGTGCAATCTTAAGTTTTAGATGAAATGGTCTTGCAGGGTAAGACCAGATGAAGTTTCGGGCCTCTTACTGGTTTGTAACATTTACAGGACTCGGCTATGCGAGTTTATAACCTGGGCGCAAGTGCTATGCTTTCACTCAGTTCACTTACTGGCCATCTTAGAATCATCTCCGCTCCCGTCCCCCCAGGCTCTGGTGAAGGGGAAAGTCTGCTCTAAGTGTTTAGCACGTTTCTGAATCATTTACCTTGCGGTAACCAGACTTTCTGATGTCTCTTCCTTTTAGATCAGTGAAGAACTTCGTCAGGGACTGGGATAAAAATAGCAATGATAAATGGGAACTGCTGAGAGCTCAGCCACCTCACTACTGTTCCTACTGAGGCTCCTGCTGTGTTGAGTGATTTCTCATCTATTACAGCTATTTTTAATCAGATCCCTAATGCCTTCCTTTGGCATAATCAGTGGAACTCAAAGACATCTGACAATGGAGTTACACCGCATGTGATTCAGACTCTTTTACCCCAGTGAAAAGACTTGGGACAACTAGGGAGAAGCAGCCTCTCTCAGCCCCCCAACCCCTTCTCTCTCTCTCTCTCTCTCTCTCACACAGTCAGTACAGTCAGAATCATTCAAAACTCTGCCGCCCGCATTCTCACTAGCACCAAACTCTGCTCCCCGATCACCCCAGTCCTTGCCAGACTGCACTGGTTGCCTGTCCCAGAGAGGATCGACTTCAAGATCCTCACCCTTGTATTCAAATCCCTCCATTCCTCTGCACCCCCCTACCCCTCTGACCTTCTCTCTCCTCAAAACAGTACTCGTTGCCTTTGTTCCTCCGGGTCTGGGCTCCTCCTCGTCCCCTGAGTCCTCCGCTCCACCCTCAGCGGCTGTGGCTGAAGGCACTATGCCCCGAGGCTCTGAAATTTCCTTCCTCACTCCCTTCGTCTCGCTCCCTTCTCTTCCTATTTTCAGGTCTCTGCTGAAGACCTTTCTCTTCGACTGCGCCTTTGGTCACCTTCCTCCCCCTCCCCCTGGCTTGGCCCCGGGATCCGTTATTGTAAAGTGCTCTGAGACGCCGTCCGGCATGGAGGGCGCTATATAAGTCCAAGTTGTTGTTGTTGTTGTTACAGTCCCACCCTCAAAGCTGTTACAGTAGAATCCAACCTGCCTGTGGTAACTTAACGCCAGCAAAATCGACTAAATGTTTTTGGCTACCAGAAATAATAATAATAATAATAATGTACTGAGATAGCTAAAACATTACCAGTTGTGAACAAAGCTCACTCCCTTTTTTCCCCCTCTTTAATTTTCTCCTGTCTCTACCAAATACACAGACTCACACTTGGGTGCAGTCTCACAAGTGCTGATCACCATCTGGTACCAATCTAAGTGGACAATCCTCTTATTACAGCTGATCCAACTGACTTTGTTAGCAACAGCCAAGAAGTAAAGAATGGCTAAATTTATCTGGGGGATTGTTGGCCAGGACACTGAGAGAAACTTCACTCAGTTTTCCAATAGTGCCATGAGATCTTTAATGTCCATCTAAACCTCAGTTTAACATATCCAAAGTACGGAACCTCCAACAATGCAGCGCTTCCATCCCCCAGCATTGGAAGGCCAGACTCAACTGTGGGTTCAAAGTCCTGACGTGGGGCTTGAACCCACAACCTTCAGACTCAAAGGCGAGGGGGCTACCAACTGAGCCAGGCTAATGATAGACTTTGTCCCTATCTGACACACTTTGCATTTTGGTTAATGAATTATAAAGCTCCCGAAAGCCAACAGTGACTGGTAAAGTGGAATGAGAGATTATATGCTTTTTCTATGTATCCATATGAAAAAAAAGTATTGCTAATACATGAGAGGAATAGGCAAGACAAAGAGATTATAAAAAATAACAAAGCTAAGGAATGGATTACCACAATGTACTTGGCGTCACTTCACTTAGTAATCCTAAAGTAACTCAGGGTCACTTATGCCTTTGTGGTAAATTGGCGGAACATACATTATCCTAAAGTATTCTACTTTGTACCCAATCACAAGTGTCTTCCAATACTCACCAGTTTATTCTTCAGCAGAATCCGCACACTATGCATGAAGAGGCTATTTGGTTATATGAGTTAAACCGTCAGCAAGCATTCATCTTTATATATCAACGTATGGAAAAAAACATTCAATCTCTCTGAGCTGAAATCGACGCTGACAAAGTTTCAGTGCCAGGAGTGCAGCATCAAATTCCCAGTGCTGACAGGGATAATAGTATCAAAATGTCAAGAGCCGTGACAGAATGTCTTATTTGAATAGTGTAAATGACACAAATGGACGGATCAGTGTCAGGCTCGATGGGCTCACGCGTCAGGTATCCTTATGATGAGCTAAAACAGAAGACACATAAGTGTGTCAGGACATGACTCTCATCTTTCACTGTATTTATTGTGTTAGATGTAGGATCGCAGGAATTTACAGGACTGGAAAAAACATTTTATTCCGTCGAACCCAGTGCCAAAGTAAAAATAGATAAAAATTCTACACCACTATGTCCTGTGGCCCTTAATTGATATCTTTATCAAATAGCTATCTTTATCTCTGTACAATTTGTGACACATTCAGCTATTCCCGGCCTCGCTCTGTTTGTTGTTCCCTTTTTTACCAAATAGTCCTGCGTTAGCTGATAAAAATTCAACAACAATTTCTAATACCCTTCACGTAGGGTAGCGTCTCACAGTGGTGGGGTTGGACACTGAGCAAGGACGAAGAGGGTGGTGACCATAGGTGGGGTGCAAGAGGTAAGTTTTAAGGAGAGATTTAAAGACAGCCAGAGAAGGCGAGACGGAGGGATAGAGGCATAATGATAATTCTTGCATATGACATAGCGCCTTTCACGTCAGGAGAATGTCTCAAAGTGCTTCACGGGATTCACTGGAAAGTGTAGTGCCATTATTTTGCAGGCAAATTCAGCAACCAATTTATGCATAATAATATCCCCAAAACAGGCATGAAATAAATGAGCAATTTTATCTGGAGGATTATTGACAACACTGGGAGAGAGAAAATCTTTGTCTTTTCGAATAGTTCCATGGGATCCAAGACATCCACCTGAAGGGACATGGTTTAACATTTCATCCAAAGGCAGATACTGGGGTGCTGCCCAGCACTGCACTGGAATGCCAACCTGGAGTTTAAAACCCCTACATGGAGGGTGTTGGTGGTGGTGGTGGGGCTGAGGGAGTACGTGACTCAGAGGCGAGAGCGCTACCATCTTCACCAGGCTAATATCGATTAATTTATATTTAACTTGGGAATGAAACAGTGTAAAATAACTCCTAAACTTCTTTCTTACCAAGCTCCACATCCTGGTCATCTGTGATGATCAGAATGATGTTGGGTCTGATGTTTCTTCGGTCACGCTGCACGCGTCCTTTAAACCGCTGTGGTTTCAAGCCCAAGCCAAAGGCTCCTATCAATTCAATACTCAGCAGGACTAAAAGCAGGACAAGTTTCATTATGTCAGCTTGTCTCAGGGCCACAATAATGGAACAACGGGGACTTTAGTTTCACCGCCTCTTGCCAAGTGATCTGTAATTAAAGCAGAACAAATTAGAACAGTCAGTATGAACACAATGCAAGCTCGGAACAATGCAGGGAGGTTACAGCACACTAAAATTAAGACGTTATTTTCTGGATCGCAAAGCATTTTTTTTAACCACAAAGAATTTTCCCTCGAAAGTGGAAGGTTTATTTTCAGTAGGGGACTTGGGAGATCTCAGCCGTTAAATGATGCACAAATCAAACCAGTGCAAACAGACACAACATAGAAACTGCACATTGTAACATGTCTTTTGCAGAGAATCTGCAACAGGTCTGCAGTGAGACTGAGAGAACCATTCTGTTAAATGCAGATCCTGCCACTTACAGTGGACAAATGCTTTGCAATTTCTCAAAATCAAAGTGGAACCAGCAATCAGGTTACAATTGCATTTGTCAAATCAGTTGAAACAGTCCAATAAAAAATTCCCATTTTGCCCATATCATTCAGAAAGAAGCTTTTTTTTTGGACTCCAGCCCTGCTATGATCTTGCCTATTGAAATATTGAGTGTGACATTGACAGAAGCCTTGTGATCTTAACGGGAGTCCAAGCAACCCCTTCCTGCGTTGAACTGACAGAAAACATTCTGAGACTCCCATCTCCTTCTAGAGAAACACACAGCGTAACTGCAATACCCAGATTACGAATCAAACTGACCCAGTCAACACCATCTTCTGGTAGAGGGAACTTCTGCTTAACTCCTGTCCCTTTCAGCTGTGTGCAGACTCTGTGCACACGCAGATAATATACAAGATATTAAGCCTCAGTTTCATGCGCGTGTGGGTAGGGATGGGCAGGTGGGTGGAGAGAAGGGTTAATTTTGCTACCAATCCATCTCAACCTGCTATTGGGATGATTGATGGAGCCTGAAGACTAAAGGTAACTTACTCCACTTTGACATTTATTGCATTCAGCTGTCACACAGGCATCTTTTTACATGTTTAAGAATACGCTTGGATTAAAATGTGAATGCATGTACAGTTCTGACTTACTGACTTACTAAAAGACCATTTAATTGAGGCATTTGAGTCAACCAGAAACATTTGTGCCACTCACGCTCAAAGGGCAGGAGCTCATTATAATTTAACATTTGTAAAGATGGCAATTTGTTGTTGTTGATCAGCAGACGGAACACTGAGGGTCAGTGCCGAGGGGTCTGAAGAAACATTAAACCTGAATGAACATTTCGGGAAATTCACCATAGCAAGAGGTGCTCACACCTGATGCTTTTGCCCCTGTGCTCTCTGGTATGAATACCCACTGTTATCAGGGTAGCCATTAGCGTAAGATCAAAGCTGTTTCAATCAAACAGAAATGCAAAAAGGAACATTATTAAAAAAATTGCGCACAAAAACATACAGCTATTCCACTTTGCAGCATGTCCTGTGAAGTGCTTTGGGACATCCTCCTGACATGAAAAGTCGTTATACCAAATGCAAGTACTATTACTATTTATTTTTATTATTAAACTTGAAGGCAGTACACTTGGGGTTGTTGCAGTGTCTATTACTCAAAGTGATCTCGCCTTACTGAAGCGAAACAACCAACCGTCCACCAGCCTGCTTTCTTCCACTACAGGGGACATCCTCCCGACATGAAAGGTGCTATATAAATACCATTTGTTTTTGTTGTTATTTCCCTTTAATGCAACTTAAGGCCCACGAAAGCTTTCCACGGGAGTTTGGTAATACTGAGTGGGGGCAGGGAGTCATCCCACTCAGCTCCTGTTAACCCTGCAAGCCAAAGCCCGAACGAGTAGCGTGGGCAAGCAGCAGGAAAGCTTGCAATATCAATGACAAGCTATGCGGTTTTAGCTGGTTAAAACTCCAGCAGTACCCCAATGCACGCTCTGGGGTCCCCGAGCCTTGGCTCTTGCCAACTTAATACTTTCCAGAATTAGTTAAGCAGGATGGAGAGACTGCGCATCCCATTCCAACAATCTATCTCTGGGATTTCCATGTTTAAGTGGGACGCTTGGATATCTCAGCTTGGTTTGGATAATCTGAAGCATGGTGATGAGTTTCTGCATTTGTCGGATACCCGGCTGACCAAAATATTTTTTTAAATCTCATGAAATCTGCAACAAGCCATTACAGCTGTATTAGTCAGCAGCACTGTACTCAGTGGTTTTTAATGTGCTGATCACCATCACATTCTGCAAGCTTCAGTGATCAAGTAGTCGGTCCTGCACTTAACGGACAAGTGATTGATGTCGATAGCCTTTGTGTAATGTGGCTGCACTCTGGTGACGGTCAAAGCAGTTGAGGCAAGAACACCGAATGGCAGCTGACTGTGTTACAAGTCTTGGAAAACATACTGGGAGGAATTAAAATCAATAACACCAGAATGGCATCTCATAACGGACTGTTCTGTTTCTCTCTGTAAAGTCTGAGTTCCACTAACAAACTGCCTGGTAATACAGCCGTCTGCTTTTGAGGTTATTTAACAGAACTCACACACTATTGCTGCACAGGATTTCACTGTGAGCACTGTGCCCTGCCTCACCCAACACAAGATTAACAGTTCACTAATGTGAAAGTCCATCGGAAATCTCTCACCTAATACACAGTAAATCAAAAAAGCATTTTTAGTAAACTGTCCGACGGAGGGAAAGGGGGTGTGGGGGGGAATGGTAAACACATCAGTAAACGATGGTACTCACAAATGACCAAGATGCTCGGAAAACTAAGTCTGAAAGTCTTCCATAACGCTTGCTGTCAAGAAAATGAACGAAGCGTGTAGAAATGAAACAGCCCAGGGTCTGATGAGCCAGCCTCACTGCCTGCATTTAGTGATGTACAGCAAACTTTGCAGACATTGTTGACTCAACTACTGCAGTCATTCAGACTGCATTGAGTAAACATTGGCAGCGCTGACTTTAAATAAACCCTACACTCTGCACTTGCAAATGCCAGACAATCATACCTCAGTGACAATGTGAATGAAATGTGCAGCATTGCCAGAGCAACTGGCTTCAGACTTTCCAATTCAGTCGTGCTATTCTTTAGCCTAAATCGTCGCTCCGAGCTGGAGGAGAGCCAGAGGGATACCTGGGATGAAGTTGTTCAGCTGTGATAGACAAAGATCCGTATCACTCATCTTCAAGCATGGACAATCTTCCATTCAGTGTTGACCTTTTCAAACCTGACATCCCTGTGCATGCTGCCTTCCTGGTGCAGCAGGAGACAAGGCTGCTGCATTAATTCTGGCAAAGTGTGCGCTTGTCTTGAGAGACAAGGATGTCAGAGGTTTTTTTTTGTGCAGGAAGCTACGAGACAGCCTTCTGGCACCTCAGGAGATTCTGAAACCCATTCCCTCGGATAAGAGCAGAAATATTGACGGCACATCAAACACAGGCCCTGTGGCTGGAAATGTACTCTGAGCCCAAGCCTGTAATAGGCAGATAACTGTACATCAGCAATTTGAGGTCATCCCGCCATCCCTACAACTATTATTATTTACTGCTGTCTCACGCCAACAATATACCTAGTTACACAATCAATTCAGAAAAACTTAGCAACAAGCACAAAGCCCTGGTTTACTTTACGTACAATGAATTACAGGGTAATGTACTCCTACTTCTCACGACTGAACTCTTTCAATGAGCTTTAAAATAAATGACTTCAATCTTGCTTTGCATAGTTACAGTGCTTGAAAGCTTACCTATGCATGACATTGTTTGGGGAAAAAAACTGGATTCCGTGAGAAAAGTTTAATTCACAGTGACACCAAACCCGAGTCTGCTCATATATGGATGTATAGTTCTGTGTGCTCAGAACTCATCTTCTGTAAGTTACGTTAGAGGTACATTGTCTTCTTAAAAGAATATTCGGAGATTTCACCTACCCTCCTCGCCCCCCAAGTCCTTTGAGGGGAAAATTCCACCTAGGTCTATCTAGATTTACTTTTATTCTCCTTCTCTCCCTTGTTCAAGGCACATCTTGGCTCAGCGTCACCCGACTCAGTGGTAGAACTCTCGCCTCGGGAGTCAGAAGGTTGTGGGTTCAAGCCCCATGTCAGGACTTAAAACTCACAATAGTCTAAGATGACACCCTAATGCAATGTTGGGGTATATTGCATTGTTGGACGTGTCGTCTTTCGGATGAGACGTTAAGCTCAGGTCCTGTCTGCGTGTTCAGGTGGATGTTAAAGATACCATGGCATTATTCGAAAAGTGAAGGGAGTTTCTCCCGATGTCCTGGCCAAAAATCTCCCAAATAAAATTGGTCATTCATTTCATGGCTGTTTATGGGACATTGCTGCGTGCAATAGTGCTGCTGTGTTTGCCTACAAATCCACAGTCACTCCATTTTGTAATAAGTCCTGTGAAGCACTGTGAGACGTCCTTCCAACATGATAAAATACTATACCAAATCCCTTGGCTCCCATTTCCAGCTTGGTTGCTCTGCCAGCATTGTCAAGTGCTTTGAGACGTCTTCCCAATGTCAAAGGTGCTTCATAAATGTAAATTTATATTTTATTGTACTCTTATTAACATAGCATAGCAGAGCACCCAGAATTTAGCAAATTCTTAAATACAGCCTCAATTTTGAAGTGGGTTTTGATTTTTTAATAACTACAGGAAAACAACTCAAAAATTAAGACTGAACTGAATAAGTTGCCAAATGCTGGACCCTCTGAAATAAGTTAAAAGTGTAAATCTTGACCAAGGTTCAATTTCTCCCCACTAATTGGTTAAAAAAAGTTCTTGCTAATGTGCAAACTTCTTATACTAATATTTACATGGATGTGATGTGATGATTATTACTGGTGATAACTGTCACATTGTGGGACATTCTGCTCCTGGAAATGTTCTAGTCCGAAGCTGCTTTACTGCTACCACTGAGGAAGCTGCCGAGTGGACTCTGACATTTTAGTACTGGTTCGGGTAATACCGGAACTTATAATGTAATATAATAATAATCCTTGCATTTGACATAGCGCCTTATCACATAGCACTTCACAGAATATACTGTAAAGGGAATTGAT